AATAACCAGACAATTCGTTTTGGACTTATGAAGAAGAGAACATACGGACATTTAACTGTATAATAACTGTTGATTACTAATGATAAATCTCGACCGTCTTGTTCCATAATAAAACAAGGATATATTAATCTCAAAGATAATTAAAGAATTTTGAGTTAAAAATATGGACGGCATCAATGATGAGAGGTAAGATTACAGTAGTATGTACGGTAAATAAATCTAAACCTAATAAAAAAACCAACATAGCAGTAACAATCATTATCAGGTGTGCATATACAATATATCTACATTCTCTATCCTCTTATCAAAATTCCTACATAGGGATTATTGATTGCTTTACATCAGAAAACACAACAAAAACCAATTATAAGTTGTATTGAAAGGGTCATAAAACCAAAAATTGATGGTTATTACGAGTCATGATATTGTAAAAGGAGCAGTTCAGTGTGGCCTGTACATATTGTTAAGTACGGTCTCCGTCACTCAGCTGATGGAGCATGCTTCCTTCACTCAGTTGACACAGCAGGTCGATTATCAAGCCCTTGATCCGGTTTTGAGTTCTGGGTGGAGCACTCGACAGGAATGTGTGTTTTCCCTGTTCCTTCACATTTTTTTACATGTGAAAAAACTCAATGTGACATTCAGATAAGAATATATGAATTATTCAAAATTCAAAGGTTTGTTACAACAAGTAATTTGGTTGGTTTGAATCGTAAAAAAAATTGACCAAACAGCAGACAGGTTATAAAACTTTGTAATGATATGTGATTACCTATATATCTTGCATAAGTTGTAGATTTTTCAGAAAGTTGTCTCTAAGGTGAATATAGATATGTGTAGTGAAATCCTTGGATTATGACAATGTGACATCACACAAATATATATAGAAGTTATTATGTACATATTAAATATTTACAAATACTTCAAGGCACTTCAATTATTTACACTACCCAAACCAATGAATACTTTTCTCCATTCTACAAGAATTCAGTCAGCCATTTTACAGTGCAGGAATACTCTCAAGACAAGTTTTATACAGCAACAATCCAACATAATATAAACCATATTCACAGACACATATAATAAAAAATATTCCTATCAATAACACATAAAAACATACATTGTAGCACAAAAATAAAACATCTGAAAACTCGAAAAAGATACCATATTCTGTAAAGTGAAATCATCATACACAAACCACTACACTGGTGTGGTCCCTTGTTTCGGCATTCACAACTTCAAAAATTAAACTCTATTAGTGAAGAATTTTATATCTACCATAGCTTAAAGCTAGTGCTGTAATAAGAAAGAGTATTGATCCCAGGTTCCTAGTAATACTCAAATTCGAAGCCGAGGAATAAAATCTAACCCTTTTGAAAAATCAAAAGGAATTGAAAAACAAGTTCATATATATATACTATGTGTGTATTGACAGTCATTAAAAATTTAATTTTCTGTAAAACTTTATAACAGTAACAATCAAAAGTACTAATGACGGACATAACAAAACATTGGAACACAAAATAAATCTATTGTTGTATCTTTACTTTTTATTCTCTTTAATTTTCTATAGTGAATAAATTCTAATATACCAGATTTTGCCCTGAACAATGTTTACCGATCAACATCTTAATGTTGACTGCTTACATCACAGCTGATTACCATTCCTTCCTGGTCATTACTCGACCATTTCTGCCATTATCCTTAATATCTGTCTATAATGATTCGTTTTCTTAAATATCAACAGTAGAAGGTATCACAAGCCATTTGTTGACTGGATTTTTAGTCAACATGTGTTATGTTCATCCCTTCCGCCTCAGGCAGCAGTTTAGTCCTCTAGTTAAACATAACTCATGTTGACCTCAAACCCAGTCAACAAATGTATATTGTTGCCTAGCTGTAACATAACTTATCAACACTAATTCTGATACTACAGAACATCAAATATCTACAGAAAAAAGGGGTAATTATTGACAACAATAACAAGTTTGGACCGACTGTCATTAACTGTAGTGAATACTTCAATAAACAAACCTTATACACCATTGTGATAGTGTAACAATCCAATCAACATCAACATAAGAAGGAAAATTATACCCCAGCTCTTTACCCAAATTATACCCCAGCTCTTATCTCAGATTATACCCCAGCTTTTAACTCAAATCATACCCCAGCTTTTAACTCAAATCATACCCCAGCTCTTAACTCAAATCATACCCCAGCTCTTAACTCAAATTCTACCCCAGCTCTTTGCTCAAATTATACCTCAGCTCTTATCTCATACTATACCCCAGCTCTTTACCCAAATTATACCCCAGCTTTTAACTCAAATCATACCCCAGCTTTTAACTCAAATCATACCCCAGCTCTTAACTCAAATTCTACCCCAGCTCTTAACTCAAATTCTACCCCAGCTCTTTGCTCAAATTATACCTCAGCTCTTATCTCATACTATACCCCAGCTCTTTACCCAAATTATACCCCAGCTTTTAACTCAAATCATACCCCAGCTTTTAACTCAAATCATACCCCAGCTCTTAACTCAAATTCTACCCCAGCTCTTAACTCAAATTCTACCCCAGCTCTTTGCTCAAATTATACCTCAGCTCTTATCTCATACTATACCCCAGCTCTTTACCCAAATCATACCCCAGCTTTTAACTCAAATTATACCCCAGCTTTTAACTCAAATTATACCCCAGCTTTTAACTCAAATTATACCTCAGCTCTTAACTCATACTATACCCAAGCTCATAACTCAAATTATACCTCAGCTCGTAACTCAAATTATACCTCAGCTGTTAACTCAAATTATACCCCAGCTCGTAACTCTAGAGTTATCATCATCAACATTTTTGGAGAACAAACATGTATGTATGAAGGCTAGTCATTATATGCACACACCCAGTCTTCGACCCAATATTTCAGACGCAATAATATAATTTAAAGTAAGGTAATCAGAGGCCTCAAACCTGTGACCTAGTGTTGGAGGGCTACTGATAAAAATGGTCAAATGCCTTCCCACTTGGCCACCATGGCCTTTCCAAACCTTAAACTATGTCTATTTCTGCATTTCAATTCATAAATTGAAGAAGCTGTTTTTGTTCTATTAGTTTTTTTTGTTTTTTTGTTTTTTTTTTTTCAAAATTGCTTTCATTTAATCACACTTGTCATTACATTACATTCAATATCTGCAAGTTTGCCTGTTACAAAAAGATGATCCATCAAAAATACTTCATACATTTAGACTAATGATGATTGAAATCTGAAGAGGTTTATAATTTTCTGCAATTTACTTCATAGAATTTACACAATGAATAATATACTAGCATTATTGACAAAAACCCACTACCTAAGGTAATATGTGACATAAACAACTGATATATGTAGCAAGATTAATGTATTTTAAGATATTTTCCTCAAGTCCTTAGCCCTGGCAAGAGTATGCAGTGATGAGATTAACTACAGCCTTATTTATACCTACTGATTAAGTAAACTATCAAACTTATTACATGTGTCATATTCATCCTATGGTAAGCCAAGAGGGCCAACACAAAATCAAAGTTGGGTGTCTGCAGGACATTAACATATTATATGTTAGCATTTTTACAGAATACACAATGTATATGGTGTGCTTAATAGCAGAAATGAACCTATTCTCTGACAAACATGATAACAAGAGATCCCACTGGGTTCTTGGTATCAACAAATGTTGAAAACTTAATAATATTTTTGCTTGTTCTCTAAATAATATAAAAATTGAAAAAAATCCTTTTTCAGAAATAGCAAAAATCACCTTTAACAGTCAAATCCAAGCTCATCCCCCGGTGACCACTCTTTATCTTTTCTTTTTTTATATCAGTGGCACAACTAGGGGGTAAAGGTATCTGTAGTTGAAAAATTGTAAAAGATTCTCGGGTACTTTCACAGTCAAAACGCAAAATGGCCTTAAGGGTCATCTGACTATAAATACTTATATAGGAAAGAGACCAAATAGGCCTAAAATAAATTGCTCAAGTACTCTACAGCTTACATAGAAGACATTGGTTGATTCATAAAGACATATTCTGCAACTTGAAATCATATTCTTTATACATGCACTACACAAATGACATTACTATGGGCATATTACTTGTTGAAAAAGCATGCTACAGGCCAAACATCAAGACCCTTGGCTTTTTGGTTATTGAGAAGAAGTTGCTTACACATTTAACTCCTGTCACTTTGACAAGGTGATCAAAATTGGCAGCCCTTCATTTAAACATGCTACAGGCCCAATATCAGCATCCTTGGCCTTTTGGTTATGGAGAAGAAGTCATTTAAATATTTCAACACATTTGACCCCTGTCACCTTGACAAAGTGAACCAAAATTGGTAGCCCTACATCCTAGCATGCTACAGGCCCAATATCAGCATCCTGGGCCTTTTGGTTATTGAGAAGAAGTCATTTGAATTTGAAATTTACACATGGTGCACAATGGTTAAGGACAGACAAGACACGATTGCTATAGGTCATCCTGACCCTTCAGGTCAGATGACCTAACAAAACAAATTTGGATCAAGACAAATCAACAATATCAAGAAATAATGATAATCAACTTTCATAAATCAAGGTTGCCTCTCAGCCATTTTGTTTTTGTGATCAGTCCCAAAATCAAAATGGCACAACTAGGAATCAAGAGGACCCTACATATTTAATACATTTAATACTGTACTGTACACTCTAGTAAGCATTTACTTCATTTGTCTGCTGTATATCATTGAAGCCTCTCTCCCTAGTTGTTCTAAATTCACTTACATTTACCTAATAACATTAACTTTGTGAACTATAAGTTTAAACAAATCTTCAAAACAACATCTGGTTAAGATTATGGCACAATAACATGATTTGATTAATCAGTACAACTGAAAAACATATAAACATTATCAAAAATGCTTTGTACAAATGATAACAATCAAATCTTAATAAATAAAAATATCTAAACTTTAGAAAAATGGTGTCAGTATCTCCGTGGACTGTTCCCTCTTAGTCGCGAGGATGATAAAGATGAGCAGCGAGAAGAGCCAATGTCCATTGGCAGGCTCTGTGATCCATCAACATATGCCCCACTGTTGTATTCCCTGTAGCCTGCACTCCGATCACTCCCCATATACCTTGCACTACTGTCTGTTCGCAGTGTTGTGGCCTTGACTGGTACGTTCTTCCCCGATTTCAGACTTGTTTGTTTTGGTCTGGCTCCACTAGATGTATTTACTAGAGTTTGTTTAAACTGTGGAGGAGCTCTTTGTAAACCTGACATACGAGAACTTGAACTCCCATGAGAAGCCATTATCTGTTCACTGACTTTCTTTTTTGTTACACTGCCTGACCTTGGCCTATTTTCTGAGGAATCACTGACCTTTGACCTTGCACTTGAGCTCCTTGATGAATCATATTTCCCACTGGATGTAAACTGGTCTCGTGATTTCACTGAGGACTTTTCTTCACTTCTGCCTCTTACAGAAGCTTTATCTCTAAGGGACTGGCGTGAACTTGATTCTGTAACTTTTTCACTGATATGAGAGTTACTTGCTCCTATCAAACTTCGACTACTTGTAGATCCAGAATTAGAGAGACCAGAAGATTTTCGGTCCGTCCTCTGCAAAGAACTTGATCTTCGTGCAGGAACCCGCTTTGCTTCTGTACTGCTCTTTGCACCAATGATATCATCATCCCTAGATGTCAACCTCGGACTGGGTCTTAATGTTTTTGTGTTTCGGATCGCCCCACCATGAGTCTTTGAGAGAGTTCCATAACGGTCAAGAGAGCGTGCTATTGCATTGTCCAGACCATTTTCCAACAAGGATTTAATAAGTGCAATGGAAGTGACCACTCCTTCAAGGTCATTATTGACCAGATGTACCTCTCTTAAGTGACAATTTTCCTCATTTTCACTGTGAAACATCAGCAGGCCATCCATAAAACTCTGAATGGACACGTCGAGAGGGCAACCAAATATCCCTGTAATGTATACGCATTTATATCAAACAAAATCTTCTTCATTATCCTAGACATTAAACCCCCCATCCTCTGTACCTGTAATGTTATATCCCCCCATCCTCTGTACCCTGTAATGTTATATCCCCCATCCTCTGTCCCCTGTAATGTTATATCCCCCCATCCTCTGTACCCTGTAATGTTATATCCCCCCATCCTCTGTACCCTGTAATGTTATATCCCCCCATCCTCTGTACCCTGTAATGTTATATCCCCCATCCTCTGTACCCTGTAATGTTATATCCCCCCATCCTCTGTACCCTGTAATGTTATATCCCCCCATCCTCTGTCCACTGTAATGTTATATACCCCATCCAATATCCACTGTAATGTTATATCCCCCATCCTCTGTCCCCTGTAATGTTATATCCCCAATCCTCTGTCCCCTGTAATGTTATATATCCCACCATCCTCTGTACCCTGTAATGTTATATCCCCCATCCTCTGTATGTAATGTTATATCCCCCATCCTCTACCCTGTAATGTTATCCCCCCTCTGTATCCTCTGTACCCTGTAATGTTATATCCCCCCATCGTCTGTACCCTGTAATGTTATATCCCCCATCCTCTATCCCCTTTAATGTTATATCCCAAATCCTCTGTCCCCTGTAATGTTATATCCCCCCATCGTCTGTCCCCTGTAATGTTATATCCCCAATCCTCTGTCCCCTGTAATGTTATATATCCCACCATCCTCTGTCCCCTGTAATGTTATATATCCCACCATCCTCTGTACCCTGTAATGTTATATATCCCCCCCATCCTCTGTACCCTGTAATGTTATATCCCCCATCCTCTATCCCTTGTAATCTCCTAACATGTTTTAAACACAGTAATCCAGTTACATTTTCCTGTAATGTCAAACATTGCTATGGATTCATTTTTACCAGTACTTATTTGTGTGTACCATTATTTCGGTGTTAGCCTGTTAAGCCTCATTTCCCTTGCACAACAACTGGATATTGATAGCAGAATAAAACAATGTATAACTGTAAGACATTATAATCTTTAAAATCATGGTAAACCTACGTAAGTTATGTGTACCTGACTCGTTAATCATGCCTCTGCTTCTGCTTTGGGAAAAGATGGGGATGCAATATTACTGGCATCACTAAACTACCATATATATATATATAAATGCAATATTCAGTTAATCAACCATTTGCCTCCCATATAGCCAGCCATCACCTAATACATCAGTATATTGGTTCAAATTATCATTTCATTCCTAAATGAATTTTCTGCTTCTTAACACATTTCAAGAAAACCAGTTTTAACAACAGATGATAATGATATAACAAAAATACCCCAAAATCATATATTCATTGTTTTCCATTTATATCTATCAGGTAAAAATCCTACTTAATTGAGAAAAGTCTGTTCCTTAAAATCACACAACTAATTAACAGAGTAACATACCTGCACTGATACAGGGTAATGATATAGAATCAAGCCAGATCTTCTCTGCATATCGGAAGCAATTCAGGTATGTAAGGAGTAGCTCAAATGTACATCTCCCCTTGATAGCCTCAATCCAGATGGGTCCCACAGCATGTAGTATGTAGTCCACCTCACGGTGAAGTTTCCCACCTGCCTGAGTGTGTACAACTGTTGCTGTCTCCAGCGGTCCATATTTCTTTTTCAATTCCTCACATTCTTGTTGCATGCCTGGACCTGCTGCCTTTGCGATTGCACCAGCTATGCCAGCACCATGAGCAAGGTAGCCATTTGCAGCATTGACAATGCCGGAGGTTCTCACCTCAGTAATATTACCCCTGGCAATCACTACCTTTATACTTCCTACATAAAACTCATGGGAGTCCATAACAGGATAGTCCTCAATAGCACCATTTAACTTCAGTGAGGCAGAAATTGCTTTCTCTAAGTCCAAGTCTTGAGTGGAAGCTGAGACACCGTATGACTTTTCATCTGCTTCGGTTGCTCTTGACCTTGACAAATCTGATGCCATACCATTATAAACCCCATAATGAGATGTCCCCACCGGAAGGCTACTGTACCTTTTATCAACTGACCCAGAATATTTGGTCATTTGGTCACTCGTATCCCTGCTTTTTGTCCCATTGACAGCACTATGATCATGAGTCTGTTTTACTCGGGTGTTCTCCCCTGTGCTGTGAACTTTTAGAACTTGAGTCTCGGAGTTGTTACTTCCTCTACGCACAGAAAATCCTTCTGATGAATTCCTTGAGATAGAATCTAAATTTTCTGTAATACTGTTTTGAGATGAAAAATGCTTGAACGTGTCATTTTGGTCTTGTAGCCTGTGCTTTTGGAAAGAACTTACACTCACCACTTCCGTTTCTGAGTCATCAGAATTCATTTGAACGTCATCGAGCAGTGACCTTGACTGGTGTTTTGTCACTGTGTAAGTTTTACTTCCTCGACCACCCACCTCCTGACCTGTATTTCTGGTGTTACTTTGCTGGCTTGGATGTAAAACTTCTACCTAAAATTGAAAACATCTTGGTTTAAAAAACTGAAAAATACAAAAGCTATCAATTAGAATACCTCCAAGAAAGGACAAAATAACAAGGTTAATCTATATAGGTATCAAATCTATTTCTGCTGATAATGATAAGCTATATAAAAGTGTTCAAATTCTCCACATGACAAAAATTCATGTCACCTCATCGCTATGAGTTGGATTTCTTCAATGATTTTTATCAATAATTTTTGTTGGTATCTTCCCAGATAGGTTGAGCATCACAAAGATGTTTATAATATTTACAGCTGAATGTAAGTTTACTACAACACCATGGTATAGAACCAGAACAAGATACCAATGTGAGTAAATCGAAGAAACTTCTAACTTACAATAATAACTGAGCAACTGTACCAAGTGGTAAACTATAGAATTGAAATAACATTTAATTGAAAGGTAAACTTCAGGATTTGATACAGATTGAAATGAATCATTTGAAATGTTTGGGTTTTTTTTTTATGTAATTCTGGAAATCGTGTACAGAGCAAGAGGCCTAACAGACCTGTATCACTCATTTTCTAGTTGTGTCACATTTTTGACTTCAGAGTGATCAACAGGTCAAGTTATTCTATACATTATGGGTCTTTGTTTCAATATCTTATAAACCTTTAAACATTTACTTCATGCATCCCTGAAGACTATTTACCATCTTCCCATCAGATGCTAAATACAGAGCTTGTTCAATTAGTTATTCCGAAGATGATGTTCAACACATTCAACTCCTTGAAAGTTCGCTACTCCCAGAAATTCTTTCAGGCACATTAAACACTACACTTAGCATATTCTTATGAAATATCACTGATCTTGCCACTCAACTTAAGTCAATTTAGTTTAAAATCCAAGTGCCAAGGGCACTTAAACATGTTGAATTGAAATGAAAGAATTGAGGGAAAAGAAAATCAATATAGAAAAGAAGAAAATATCTTGAAAGAATTTTAACCATGGTCAAAATACCCTTTATTCCATCTTATTGAGATGAAGAGTATCAATCTAAAGCCTTACTGTGGCTCTTACAAAGGTAATTTTGTTTGGCCAAATTTTGAATTCAGAGTGTAATTTTGAGTTTAAAAAATAAGTAGATATAATCATGACAATTTAAAACTGTTCTAAACTTAACATAATAGAAAGCCATAATTTCTCAATTTCAAATGTTATCACTGAAGTTTACACCCATTTATTGTAAGTATATATAACAGTAATGTTTGTTAACCAAGTTATTATTGTTTTTTATGAAAATCCCTGAATTTTCTGAACATTTTTATTAACTTTATTCTAATTTCCTGCTCCCTGATTACAAAACCAAGATGGTGGTTAGTTCTTCAAAAACTGACGGCTATGATGTATACAGCAGTGAGACTTTTTCTTCAAGTAAGTATATGAGGACTAATTCAATAACCAGTGTTTGTTTTTGAAGAGACGGACTCTGATTATAATGATAAATCATAGGCTTATCAGAAATACTTCTTGTCTGTAAATTAATTCCGGCTCTCACCTTTGGGAACAGATGGTCATAGGTTGATCCTTGCAGCGAGGAATAATTTTCAGAATAATCATGGGTTATAGATGTATCTGAAGGTGATGCTGAATGTCGATGTTCTGAAAAGGAGGCCAGTCTGGTGCCTCTGTCAGACCTGTAACTAGAATTACCTTCCTTGACAGCATCTGAACGAGAGTGTTCTTCTTTACTTTTTTCTGATTTATAACTAGAATGTTTTCCATCGTCAGTCTTTGAAGAGTTACCTCTTTTGTCACCTACTTTCTGTTGGTGGTATTTATGTGATGTGTACATTTCTTCGCTGTCACCTTGTTGGTGATGAGTATTTGATGATGACGATGATCTACTTGGCCACATTCTTCTGACTTCCTGTGCGATTTCATCCTCAAATGGTGTTGTGGATATCATACTGTCTGTAACATTCATGTCATCAACACTTAACTGTGAGTCTTGCATTTTTCTTCCAGAAGAATGTGGAACTGAACTTCTTTTATGGATTGTTTCTAGATCAGAATCATCACTGTCATCTTCCAGATCAGTAGATTTCCCCTGTGGACGATAGCGTGGCCGTGGCTTGTCGTCGCCATTTTCTGTGGAAAGCTGTTGTTGAAGGCGATAATGGATCTTCTCCTGACGTCCCATTGCCACGTGTATGATCTGCCATGACCTCTCAATTTGGTACCAGTTTCCCTTCAATGTATAACTGTTGTCTTTGGCATAGGAACAGATCTCGACATCTGCTAAGAACTGAAGTTCATTGGAAATGTCAGTTCCAAGGACAATGGAGGCAATATCTGGCTCTAACTTGGCTTCAATTGTTGTAAAAACCTGACAATATGAAAATCAGGCATGGATTAAATAATGAGATGTATAGAAGACATGAATGTCCCTACTCCTAAGCATATAGGTATAATATTTCATAGATTTACAGAACTTGTTGATCTTTAAGCCTTTAACCATGACCAATGACTGCCTTAAAACAATAGGGTACAAATACTTTGGAGAAAATATGAACAAGATGCACATAGGGTCTGTATCACTCACCTTGTGGCCTTGCTAAACAAATGGAAAAGGTTTCTAAAGATTTATAATCATTTCCCCATGAGGCCCCACCCATTCACCCCCAAGTTGTTTCTAAAAAAAGCCTGTTTTGCTTAAGGATGCTTCAGACCAAATATTTCAGGGGTTTCAGATACTGTACATCCTCTAGGAAGACCAATGTTTACATCAAATTTTATTATCCTGTTTAACCATCCTTGTTTAAATGAAAATAAAATTCCAACAAAGGCACTAGCTCCCTAATTAAGAGGTTGCAAGCCCTAACTTTGATACACTGCACATCCTCTTAGTATGACTATTATATACACCAGGTTTTATTTTCCTATTTTCCCTAATTTGAATGAAAGCAAAGTTATGCTCTGGACACAAAAGGTTTAACAAGGGGTCATAACATTGATTAAAAGGTTGTGGTCACTGAATTTTGTATACTGCACATAGTCTTGGTATGATCAATGTATACACTAAGTGTCATTATCCTAGTTTAATTGGAAGCAAAGCAAACACAAGATTTTAACAAAGGGTAATAACTCTGTAACTGAGGGGTTGCGGGACCTGAATTTGGCACATTGCACATCGCCTTATATATAATCAGTATGACGAAGTTTTAATCCTTGCTTAAATATAGGCAGAGTTATGCTCCAGACATAAACAGACTAAAGGCAGTTAGAGGGAACAAGCCTTGACTATCTGCTCCCCCAAAACTATTCAGGTGGTATGAAAAAGGATTGCAAGAATTTATTCTATTTTCCCTATAGGACTTCACTCCTCACGACCCAGGAGGCTGAGAACCCAATCTGATTAAAATAAAAGTCATCATTATACACTGTGTTATGAAGATATGAATCTACCATGGTACATAAAATCATTAGTGTATAATAACCATGGACACTTCTCATCAATGGTAAAGTCCAAATTGTGAAATCCCAATTTAGTGACTATAGAGTTAAAATCATTATTGTACACTTACCATAGGAGGTAGGCGTGTCAACTTAATGTTTGTACCATTCAACATGTGCTTTGAAATAGACAGGATCCTATGTACAACTGAAATAAAAAAAGAATAACATTTTCTAATAATGCAATGCCAAATATTGCTAACATATAGAATCTAGGTCTGGAACTGATAAAATAGTGACTTGGAGACAAACGAGTGGTTTTAAGTGATTCACAACAAACTATGGGCCTAGAAAATCATCTGACTACAGAGGGAATGATTACAACTTTAGTATTCACAGCACTTTAAGAAAATCAACAAGGAAAAACAACAATCAATGGAACATATTATGGAACAATTCTTAGGCAGTGTTAGGCAGAAAACATTAAACTCATGCACCCCAGAAAACTCAGTAAAGGTGTGTTGTTCCACCAAGACAATGCCCTTGTTCACAAGTCTATCATTGACATGACTGCCATTAATGATTGTGGCTTTGAATTGTCTGAGCACCACCTTATTCACCTGATCTAACTCCATCAGACTTTCATCTATATTCAAAATTGAAACAGACCATTTCTGGTATTCACTTTCAGTTCAGATTGGTTCATCGTACACACCACACTTGATCACTTACGATTAATTACCAGTTTCATTATTCTATTAAAGGTTGGCTTCTTAATTAGTGTCACCATCCTGTAGCAGTGACTTACCTGTACGTTAAAAAAGAAGCACGTTTACACAAAACATGAAAACATTTAGCTTGGTTGCGTGCATTTTCAGGAATGATAAAAACGAAACCATCAAACCAGTACTAATGGTTTGACGTAATCTGATCATCACAATTCCAAAAGAAACTAATTTTGAGCTTGTTAAGTAAAGGACTGTGATCGAGCACTTTGTCATATTTACCTGGTAGTGTTTGGACAATGAAGTGCTGAAAGTATTTTTCAATGATAAAGTCTATATCTGTGCATGGTTTGTTAAGTCTAGTGCTTGTACAATGTTTTCTGTAACAGGTAAAAACTTTCTAGTGCTGTGTTTTTCATGTTTCTTTATTCATAATTCAGTCATATTGATATGATCTGTGGCTTCATGTATCGTTTCTTGTAGCATTTCAAATTTACATTTCATGTCATTCAATAAAATATATGATGTATATGTGCTTGTTCATTTGATGATTTACAGCCATTTCAAATATCAGATTAAACAACGCTGTTTGCGTGCTATTGTAGCCCTACTTCCTTCAGGAAACTGATATCCTCAGCCTTATTAATACATTGTGTTTGAGTCTACATACGCAAGTCAAGATATTTTCCATGATCTTTTGAATTTTGAGGTAATGAGTTTCAACTGTATGTTGAATTTCTATTTGTTATTTTTAATTGTTTCGTACAAAGTATTGAAATGGAGAATTTCTACTAGAGTACTAGCTTGATGCCTGTACAAAGTTTTGAGTAATGTGTAATTATCTTGAATGGTTTAAGAGAACAGGTCTGAAAAAAATGAACTTTGTGATTTGGCCTATATGTTTCCATGGTAACAGAAAAAGTATCTAAATGGAGATCTTCCTAATAGCAAAAGATATTACTAGCTAAATAAGTGTAAAAAGTTTTGAAAATCTGAAATTTGTGATGAAGGTTATCAATTTCCATGGTACCTGTTATATACAGAAAAATTTGTGGAGTTAAGTGGAATGGTTTCCAAGTTGTAGCTCAAAAAGGAAAGTTAGCATTGATTTTTTGACTATGTTTCCATGCTAAGAGAAAAAATATTTTTTAAAAATGAAATATTGTCAATAGCAAAATGCACAACTAGGTCACTAACTTAATATATACTGAAAGTTTTGTGAAGTTGAGTTTAACGGTTTTAAAGTTATAGCCTGGAAAACCAATCAGATGGACATATGACAGATGCACACACACACACACTCACACCCTCACACATACACACACACACACCATCACACACACACACACACACACACACACACACACACACACACACACACACACACACACACACAGACGGAGCCCAAATTAATATCCCCTGTTAAGCACAAACATTATTCTGGAAGCATAAACATCTATTGCTTCATCGACAATAACAATATGTAAATCTTGATCAATCCAAGTAAGTAATTTCATGTGCCCAAATGAGAACACAATAAACAACAACAGACCCACATGACATACTAATGAGTGTCTGAATTCATATCCCGCAAGGAAGTAAAATATTTAGAAAAGAAGACATCTTGCATGAAAATCATGATATTAAGAACAAGTCTTTAAATACCAAATCAACTTTATCAAGTAAATAGCATAGGCTGGAGATTCCCAAATCTTAAAATACATTCAGAACATGCCTGCTGTATTTCAAGATTGTCCTATTCAAAACAATAAAAAGAATATATAACTCAGAATAAATATAATTTGGTTTTAATTTGGAACATTTGAAGCATAAAATATTGAGAAAGGTGACATGTTTTCCAAAAAATATGTACATCTGCAATATTTCTTATCCATTTTATGTGGTTTTCATTGTCTTTTATATCACTGGGTAATAACATAAACTAACTAAACCCAAACATACTTACTCTCATTGTCCTTAAATAAAATGACGGCGTCATTTTCCAACAAGGGGAAGTAAATCTTGCGGATATCCCCACCGCCATTCTTTGGATTTCTGAAGTACATCATCAGAGCCTTCTCATCTGTCAGATGCTTATCAAGCCCCTTTACCCGAATCCCTGACTGCCCATCCATCTTGACTTTTGATTATTTCACAGAGGCTAGGTTAATGCTTTTATGATCACATAACCTGAGAGAAATACAACAGAGACATGTATCTGATCATACTAACATAGATCATTTCACCTGGTATGGTAGGATATTGCAAATCTTACAACTGATCAATGTAGCAAAACTAGGGAGCATCATATTGAAGTTAATACATTACTACAACAATACAACTCTAGTGTATTGTTTAAAAAGGATGCTAAATATGACACTAACTTACTGCCTGCACAGTGTGTAATAACAGAAGCCTATATACATGTATAACCTTGTCCATTGAAATAAAGAATACAACAAAAGCTTACAGTCCCTAAACTATGTAGAATATAACAGAGGGTTTCTACATCTAAAAGAGGAAGCATATGACAGGAGCTTCCTGTCCCTAAAGGATGTAGAATATGACAGGAGCTTCCTGTGGAACACGACAGCAGCTTAACTGTCCCAAAAGGATGTTAGAACATGTCAGCTTATTGTTCCTTAAGGATGCAGAATATGTTGGGAACCTATAGCTGCTGCCCCTAAAGGATGCAAAATATGACAGCAGTTAACTGTTCCTAAATTTAAGGAAGCAAAATTTGACAGGATTTTTTCTTCCTAAATGATGTATAAAATGACAACCGCTTTCAATTTTTGTTGTCCCTAAAGGAAGCAGAAATAAATGCAGTGAGTTGCTGTGTCTAGTAAGGAGTATTAAATATGGTTTCTGTCATTCAGATGCCAGACCATGTATCATTGGCTCAGTTGAAGACCGAACTAAATTCATGTCAAGGCACCTGTCAGAAATGTCTTTTCCCCTGTTCTATGAAAGCTTAGAGTTTTAAGCACTTTGTTTATGTCTTGTACATCACATAGACTTGGCACAAATTCCCAAACCATATGATGTATTTATAATGAAATCATAACAATTTCATGGTTGAGTGCTGTGTTCAAAGCTTCCACACCTTAAAAAATTCATAGAATAAATTGGAAGTGTAGAGCCAACGTCTATGACCAGGTAGGTGTTTTCTTCAGTGGGGTACTTCCCTTGAACATGGATACCTAGAGGTATGCAGGACGATTGACAAAATATATAAACATAAGAAGGGTAAAAGTTAAACTGTATTGTCAACTGATTTCGCCTCCGGTTGAGATTTCACCAAGACCTGACTACACACTAACTGGTGACACTAGAAATTTGTTGCGATTGATTCCTTACCATTCTTAAAAAATCCACAATATAAATAACTGAAAATTCATTCAAAGTATCAAATTTCAGAAATACTGATACAAATATTTAAAGAAAATTTGAAACTGATTTGATTTTTCGGCCTTGGGAAGTAAGTTATTTATCATAATCCTGGGTTTTGGACAAGGTGCCGGGACCAGGTGAGCCATACACCAATCTTTGTTGACAAAAAGAAGACTGGATATCATAGGCATCATAAAAGGAAATTATGTGTACTGAATACTGCCACAAGTTAAGATCTGGCAACATTGCGTAGTTATTGGGGTAACCACTAGAGACGAAAGCATGTTTCAACTGGACAGGGAAATGTCTACCTTGTCATTTCTATATGTATTTTCGAATATGTCAGATCATAACTTTGTCAATTATCGGCCAATCTCGTTTATTAAACACTCAATGGAAAGATAAATTGGCCATAGTAACGTTACACTCGTGAATAAGTAAAATTCCAACCGTTTTTAAAAAGTTAAATGCTTTCATAATCAGATAGTGATCTGTCAATGTCATAACAGATAGGAATCAGCACCAGCAGGTGCCCGTTTCATTCACAATGCAAACGAAAGAAAGATATCTCGGTCGTCAACTTATAGCAATATATTCTTTGTGATACTCGCCATCATAAAGAAATAATTATACACAGTTTCTTACCAAATCTTAGATGAAGGAGTATTTTCATCGTATGAAAACTTCAAAACGAAAGTTGAAACTTGATTGGTGAAAAATAATAACAAGAAGAGTTCCTTTCAAGATAAGACAACTCTTGAATTCTTGGTGTTGGGGGGAAATCTGGGAAAAATGATGGGGTATTTCCTTATTCTGTGTTGTCTTTGTTAGATGAATTTAGGCTATTTCATTTCGTTATATACAGATAACAAACTTTCTATATTAAATTCATATATTTTAACACGGTATGATATTGAGGGCTATTATTTGGAGCGTCTCTAGCAACAGATCTATCACGTCAATAAAAAGTTTGTCTGTCACGCACTGTTGCAGAGCAAATATGCTCTACCCGGTCATACATGACTGCCCATACAGCAGCATACATAACTAACAACGACATTTGCAAGGCCTTTACACCAGTGGCATTTACAGTGGTCAACTCGTGCTTCGGATTTCTGGCGTTATATTGACGAGATAGAGCAACATTGATTATACAAGGTATACACGATTTTGATTCAAGAGTTGGCAGTAAAATATGTGTGCTGGTCTTTCCTCCATTCATGATTATTTAATGCAGAATAAGTTGTATACGTATAGTAGGCTAAATATGTTAAAATTTGGCTAATAAGCCATGTAAATCTGAGATTAAAGTAATATAAAAATTATATTTCACAAATATCCTGGCAGATGAAGGGCTACCCTGACACAGAAGTCTCAGGGATACCCTAGCACAGATGCTGGCAAGTGAAATGTAAAAGTTGAAAGTGTACAGGTTTCCTTACTGGCCTCGGCTAGTGAGAACTTAATTCCCTTAAGACATGCACGAGAGTGTGACCCAGCTACAGACCGAAGGGTCACTAGTTCGAACCCCAGGAGTGGCAGGGTGATTTTCATTGCTCCTTCCTATTACAGATTTAGTGCCATTTACTAATCCAAGGGTAGAAGCTATAGGAGACTGGGATGCTTCCTTGGAGATATTGGTTGATGTTGTTTTCTACCATCATTCACAAGCTTGTCAACCATTCTACTTGTTAAAGATTTCTATGTCAACCGCTATGGTATGATTTCTGTGTCAACCCCTAAGCTATGACAAATAGCATGTGTACTGGAAGTGAACCAGAAATACTTCCACACCCGTCGTCTGCTACATGTATGTTAACAAATACACATGTTCAAATTTACCAATAGCTCAAAACCATGTTTGATATAGGAGACACTGTCAGCATAGGATCTAAAGGCAGGAAGGGCAAGATTATTGACAGTTTTCGCCCTATAGGAACTTATATGATGTATAAAGTCCACATGACTGACACTGTCTAAATAGTTAGTGCAGCAAAGCATGAACTTGTGAAGGGAATGCCCGATGAGGATTTCCAATTTTAGAAAAAGTGTGATGGGAGAAAAATAATCATCAGCTCCGGATTAGACAACCAAGAATATAACCCTCCAGGTTGGAGATTTCTCTGTCACACCCTCAAGGTGGGGGAAGATTCTATTAGTCTTTGGGGTCAAAGACTGTGAAGGAGAGAATAATGTAGATTTGAGAGTACAGGTTGCCTTATTAAGCTCGGCTAATGTGATATTTCCCATTTCTTCCCAAACCATTTCATCCCTTTTTTTTAATACGCCCCTATTTCACCGCAAAGTAGCAACCATATTGCCCCAAAATTTGAAATTTTCAGATCGCCCAAAAAGTTACTAACCCAAAAAGAAAACCATAATATATAATGACGTTTATGATGCACACTTGTAAGCTCATGTAATTCCATGGTGACATGTCAATTCCTTTCAATAGCTATGACATTGATTATTATCACACACTTCGAAATGATTATGTATCAAATAAGCCTACATATGAAAGATTCCTGGAATGGTGTGGAAAGACATGGGGATCACCTGCCCGACAAGTGGGTTTTCTCTAGGTTCTCCGATTTCCTCCTAAAGTAAGACCAAGTCTTTGCATGCTTCCAAACATGCCAACAAGACTGACTAGTATAAGTTGAAGTAATAACTTGTTTTGCAATGATTGGAAAGTTAATAAGATTTAAGTTAATATTTGAAATATACTTAAATCAAGACCACTAGCAGAGAGAAGTATATAACACAAACATGTATGCAGCAAAATAAAACAGTATGAAAATGAATGATAACATCATAATACAGAGTCGATTTATTAGTCTTTTTTCTTACAGTAAGTTTTCTTTGCTACTTTCAGCGTGCTTAAGGACAAATATGGTGGATCCTACTGTAGCCAGACGAACAATGTCACGCTACAGATTGTATTTGGCAGGGGCAGTACTGATAATAGTAGCTGTCATCTCCTACTACTTCATGAATGCAGCACCTAATAAGCTCTCTAAAAATTCAAAGTCACATCTGAAATATCCTAAAAAAACAAAACTATGGAATCAGAACAAATTTGTTTCCAACAGTAATTTCCAATCACAGAAAGCTGAGAAAACACTGTACCAAGGCAAGCTATCAAAGCAGCTGACAGACAGCCATCATCCTGCCGAGATTTCACAGCCATCGGAAACAGCAGCAAATAACATTCCAGTTACCCCATTTATGAAAACTCAATTCAGTCATGATGTAAATGATGCATTGCCAATGAAGACCTCCAGACAAGGCATGAAAATGAAACAGAATCGGTTTGGAGTATGGAGGATTACAAATGAGTCTCGTTTCTATGGACCTGTGAGTGACTATCCAGATTTTTTCCATGGTATGAAGCGCCTTGTTCACCTTGATTTAAAAGGAGCACCACCAAACAAGTTGTATCTCCAGAAACTTTTCCCATTATTTAAAACTTTCGGTGCAACAGGTATTATCTTAGAATATGAAGATATGTTTCCCTATAAAGGCCGATTTTCTGCTATTTCAGCTAGGAACTGCTACACAGAAGAAGATGTAAAGGATATAATCAAATATGCTGCACTGAGTGAATTGGAAATTATTCCTCTCATCCCAACTTTTGGTCATCTTGAGTTTCTATTAAAACATGAACAGTTCCGAAATTTGCGTGATGTAGACTCATCTCCCTTGGTGATAACACCAGCTTTGGATGCAACGTACGTAATTCTCAGTGAGTTGATAAAACAGGTGATGAGACTACACAACACATCTGCCTACTTCCACATAGGTGCTGGTGAGGTCACAAATCTTGGGGTCGGCTTATCTGCATCACTTATAAACAAAGGAAAAACAAGAGATGATATTGTACTAGATCATGTAACCAAAGTTGGTCGCATTGTCAAGGAGAAGTTTAATAAACAGTCCATCATGTGGGATGATATGTTACGGAGCATGGATGCCAAGAGACTCCAGGTAGGTGTTGTAGACAAGCATCAGAACATTTATAAATGTGAACTTGAATTGTATTGGAGCACTTTTGAGATTATTGCAAAAGATATCATCTGTACATTGTCATGTCAAAGTGATGGAGGTTAAATTCACTGACCAAGACAAATTTTGGATAATTACTCAGGTTTCAGTTCTCAGAATTTAAATAGGCATTGTAAGCATCTTTCATTTTAGATTGAATCATGTTATCAGTTTTGATATATATAAAACATAATTGTATGTTTCAGTTGAGACACTTTCACAAATTTAATATATAGGTTCCCTTTGTTGTGACAATAGAATTTTGAGACTGATTCAGAAAACAACTGGCTGACAGGCAGCCATCTTGGATTTTGACTGTTGAAGTTTTTTATAACTATTTTTCATCTTATCTTTTAACACATGTCAATTAAGTGTGAACCTTGAAGGAATTTTGATTGTTTGGGATGCCTTTTTATGTTTTCTCCCTAGATAAGCATTGATATTTGTTACCATAAAATTGAAGTTCAATCAGCTTGAAATAAAATTAAAGGAAAAGTTTACTAAAGTTAAATTTTTAACCCTTTTGGCGCTGTAGGCAACTAAAGTCGACATGCAGACAGGCCGCCGTAGGCGACTTTGGTAGACAGTTTTTATATCTTTATTATTAGCCAAGATATGCTTGTTTCAGTAATGCTGCCATTGTTTATGGCTATTTTCTGGAAAATATTTGGCACTGAGCTGTATATTGTAAGAGATATTTGGCGCTGAGCTGTACATTGTAAGAGATATTTGGCGCTGAGCTGTACATTGTAAGAGATAATTGGTGCCGAAAGGGTTAATGCTACCTGAAAAATTGCTTTTGAAAAAATATAGTAATTGTTTGGTGCATCCACTGATATGTCTGTTGGAGCTGCTTGTAAAGGTAATTAATTTTGAATCAATACAAATGTGTGTTGTAAGGCAGAGTAGTACATTGCATACCAAATACAGTTTTATTCAGCCAATGTCAAGTTCACAATAAGATCACTGATCAAATTTTCATTGTACAAGCTACTCTTTCTAACCAAGGCAGAGGATGCATGTCATGAAATTTCACCAAAGGTCAAGGTCATATAAAAGTCATTCTCTAAATTGTATATCATGTTAATACAAAATATGTGTGATAAAAAAGCATGCTGTTGGGTCAATAGTCACAGATTTTAATTTTTTTTTTCTTTTTTTTTTTTAATTATTTTGAAAAAGTCTGATGAATTTAGTGTTTCTTAAGCATTTCCCATAAATTTTCAACACCATTTTGAAAATTTAACAGAAATGGATGAAGGGTTTCAGTTCATTCATATAATTGACCTTGACCTATATGCAAGATCTCTTTGGTCAAATGAGTTGAGATCTTGAGATCTTCTTTTTCAAAAATCAATAGGTCAGGACTTATGACACTTTTGTAGTAACATGTATAAAGAATGTGATTCCAAGTTTTGCAGAAAATGTTTTTATGAACCAACAATATCATTTTTCTGAGCTGTAGAGAAGTTGAGCAATTTGTTTTAGGCCTATTTGGCCTCTTTAATATACAGTCTATAGTTAGGCAACCGTTAAGGCCTATGGACCTCTTGTTATTTTTCTTACTGTACATGTATATGATGTTTATAAAAATCAGTTTTTGGTCACTCTTTAACCAGTATCCTTTGTTATCTACAGGAATCTCAATTGGGTCAGTATGTACAACCAATGGTTTGGAGTTCTATGACCGACCCAGCTGAAAAATTGACCACAGACATATGGAGTAAGTATAGGGTCATCTTCAAGTATATATGGGTAGCATCTTCATTTAAAGGTTCCAGAGGCAGTGGGAAGGTGATGACTGATGCTGTCTATCATCTGAAAAATAACCTCAACTGGATTCGCTTGATTGAGTCTGTAGGTCCAGGTGCCAGGGACCAAGAACAAGCAGTTAACATTATAGGTATAGGAATCATTGGTCGACAGCGGTACAATCATTTCAGCACACTGTGTGAACTCCTTCCTGCTGGTCTTCCTTCTTTGGCTGTTTCCCTCAAGGTGATGCAGCTAGGTGGATTTAACCAACCCATACACAGGCTTGTCTCTAAACAGCTTCAGTGTGAAAAACCTGTCAGACTTGAATTGCTTAAAAAATATGAAGATTATGATGGATGTAAATTCCCAGGGTCAGTCATTTACTACAAGGTGCGAACATTGTGGGGAAAGCTTCAGACTTATGCTAAAGTCCAGGAAGATATAAATAGCTTTGCCAGTGAGATAAACTATAAACATCAGTTCTTCAGTCCAGATCTACTGAAGGGCATCAACTCTACTCTAATGATGTTAAATACTAGTATAGGTAGCATGGATAAATTCATGAAACATGAGATCGGTACATATTTTGACTCCATGACAGCTAATGAGTGGGTGGAGATCAACATCAGGCAGGTTGTACAGGAAATCACACAAGAAGTTCAGGAAATTGCTGAATTTTCTAAGAGGAAAACATGGTCCAGTCGTCCAGGTTATGAGACAAGAGCAACTGTTAATACCAAGGATGGTGAGTTAAATACTGGAAAACGTGTTGTGATAAAAGCAGGTCCAGATCAGGATGCGAAAAGGAAAGAATACTTGCAAAAACTGTCTCCTCTTCAACAGCTTATGAAGATTAGAAGAAGATTTAACCAGACAAATCTTCAACAAATGGCACTTGCGTCCGCCAGACTCAGGGAAATTGCTAACACACAAAAACAGATATCTGAAACAAATTTGAAGCCAGGCATAGGTAAAGTATCGGTGAAGAAGGTTGAAATTGATACAGAGAGAAAGACAATGGGACAGAAACCTAGTGTAGAGATTAATAATGTTGACAGGAAGAAGGCTGCAACCAGTACAGAGGAACAAATATTGAGAAAGGAACAGAGATCTGGGATGAGGATGTATGATGGACAGTGGAAGAAAGATAAAACAGAGAGACAATGGCCAGAAAAGGTAGTGGAACCTGGAAAGGGGACAGGTAATCAACAGTTTGTAGATGTCAGCAGTGCAAAGAAAAACATGCCAGAAATGGGATTTAAGTCTGGCAATGTGATGGATAAGAAGAGAACCCCAAAATCTATGCAGAATCAACCTTTGGGTTTGTTAAAAGATAGAAATCTGGACCGCTTTCAATCATCTAATATTGTACAACATTAAAACAAAAGTTTTCACTAAGGCTTCTTCATCTGTTAGGGACAATATCGCATTGTACTGTGCAAAATAGTCATAATTCAGCTAGATATTCACAATTTTATTGAATTCTGATCTATGTGCCATAGATTTCCATGGTTTCTAGAATCCTGGAATGATTTCGTTATTTTTTTTATATTAAAGAGCATTTTTACCATTGTAAATACATGTAAAATGTATGGTCAAATTTCAATCTGGAAAGATCTCCAAAATGCCCAAGAATCAATTATTTTTTCACAATAATTTAGTCAGACTTCTAACCTTTTCATTTCTTGATGTAGTGTGTATGGGCGAACTTTTGCACATTTTGCCTTTTTACCAATAGGCTTAATGACATAAGGTGGTCTTAAGTATGATGTTCAAGCAATTTTTTTTCTTTTTTTTTTATGTAAATAAGGGCAGTTTTGAAGCTGGAGTCCTATGAAGAGCTTTTATAGAAGGTGAAAATAAATCAAAACCAATGTTTTTCTGTATATGTGATGCCATGACAGTCAATTGTCCAAACTGAAATTTTATCAAACCAGAAACCAAGCCTGGCAAAAGTTCGGTGTATGTGATACATTTATTTGATGTGATTCTGCAAGTTTATATCGTGTCAAAAGACCTGTTATTTCATGTTATACTTCACATATGCCCTGAAGATGATATTGTATACAAATGGTTTCTGATTGTCAATGTGTAAAGTTTCATTGTGTTTAACTGTCAGAGTTATTTTTATTTAATATTTTTCTCAGTACATGGAGAGATTTTCAGTCATAAGGCAATTTTGTATCCCTTCAATATGGTGTCTTTGTGTATCCCTGCATTTTGATGTCTTTGTATATACCTACATTGGATGTCTTTGTGTATCCCTACATTGGTGTCTTTGTATATCCCTTCAATGGTGTCTTTGTATATCCCTATATTGGTGTCTTTGTATATCCCTACATTGGTGTCTTTGTGTATCCCTACATTGGTGTCTTTGTATATCCCTTCAATGGTGTCTTTGTATATCCCTACATTGGTGTCTTTGTATATCCCTACATTGGTGTCTTTGTGTATCCCTACATTGGTGTCTTTGTATATCCCTTCAATAGTGTCTTTGTATATCCCTACATTGGTGTCTTTGTATATCCCTACATTGTTGTCTTTGTATATCCCTACATTGGTGTTTTTGTATATCCCTTCAATGGTGTCTTTGTATATCCCTACATTGGTGTCTTTGTATATCCCTACATTGGTGTCTTTGTATATCCCTACATTGGTGTTTTTGTATACTGTATATCAGCTTTTGTCATGGCTACAATGTGGTTACTTTCATGAAATCTACATTGCAGTAATTTATGGTTTTAAACTATTCATTCTCTAAATAGATAATTATAGTTCTTATTGACAAAGAGTATTTACAAAAATAATCCCTGCTCACAGTGATGTATGTAACTTTTGTGAATTCCATCAGTCATTAGAAAAATTGGTTTAAAGCCTCGGGTCTTTGCATATCCTTATAAAGTGCTTTCATTGTAAACTGATATTTTGTAACTGATGATTCACTACATAAGACATTGGTACTGGAATAGAGGCTTGAACCAGACATGGTCACACTTACGACAACAGATTGGTTGTCGCATGTTACACTGATGACAACAAATTGGTTGTCACATGTTACACTGATGACAACAGATTGGTTGTCGCATGTTACACTAATGACAACAGATTGGTTGTCACATGTTTCACTGATGACAACAGATTGGTTGTCACATGTTACACTAATGACAACAGATTGGTTGTCACATGTTACACTGATGACAACAGATTGGTTGTCACATGTTACACTGATGACAACAGATTGGTTGTCGCATGTTACACTGATGACAACAGATTGGTTGTCACATGTTACACTGATGACAACAGATTGGTTGTCACATGTTACACTGATGACAACAGATTGGTTGTCACATGTTACACTGATGACACCAGATTGGTTGTCACATGTTACACTGATGACATCAGATTGGTTGTCGCATGTTACACTGATGACAACGGATTGGTTGTCACATGTTACACTGATGACAACTGATTGGTTGTCACATGTTACACCCATGAAGACAGACTGATTGTCTTATAAATTCAATTCATGGGTGCTTGATTTTAATTCACTAAACAGCAGAATTGTAGGTACAAGTATAGGCTTGCCCCAGACATGGTCTGCCTGATGAAAAGCTTATGTGATCTTAACAAAAAGTGTCTTAAACTTCATGTGATTGTGCTGAAGTGTCAAGCAACATACTCTTACTAAATTGTAAATAATTTTCTAAATCAATTGTATATGATTAATATATATCAATTCAGTAATATGTTTATATATTTGTGATTTTATACTTACATTCTTCATAAGTGTGTATGCTTAAGGTGATAAATTTTCCTATTACAGAATGATAGTGTCCTTTTCATACATATTTTGAAGCAAAACCATATCATTATTATTTCTTTATTTAAGACGTTTTTATAAAAAAAATTATACAACTTTGATTTCCCTGTCGTACATTATAACAACTTCATACCATAAGAAATCCTGGGAAACTGGCCCAGACCAGCTTCAATCCATTAACATTGTTTTTCATTGTTTCACTCAAATATATTACAAATATAAATACTGGTGATTGTGAAATATTTCCTTGCAGTGAGTGTGTAGAGTGAATCAAGATCATAGATTGAACCCAGAAATCAATCCATATGTGACACTGACTACACTCCCAGCACTTTCATTTGTCAGATAAAAGTGAAAGACCTCAGTCAAGGTTAGGAATATATATGTGACATTTCATTGACTACACTCTTTCACCTTCATCAGGCAGATGAAAATGAAAGAACACCATCAAGATTACATGGTTGTTTTCATAGCTTTTGTCTGTTAACTTTTTGACACGAAATTCATGATATAAATAAAAGCAAGATGTATTTCAACCAAATAATTCAAAGGTACAATGTAACTCACATACTTCTCTTTTTTATCAAAGTTTTGTTGGGAGTTGGTTAAAATCTCCATATCTCAAATATCAAAATAAAAAAATATGAGAATTTATTGCTGCCGTCCTTAAACTAAAAACCGATTGAAATTTCACAACAGGATGTTTTTTTCCATCCTGAATTCAGAAGTTTTGTGCAGTCTACATAACTTGACTGTTGTCATGATTACTATATTCCAGAGCTAAAGTAAACCATGCATTTAATGAAACTGAAACTCGTATGTGATGACTGTGGTTTGGTTATATAACAATACCAGCAGTATACCACTCGACCTTGTTCTCTAGACCTTGACATGAAGGGAGATCTACCTGAATAATTGCAAGCGACATGCTGTGTGGGATAAGATTAATGGAATTTGTACATAAAGAATTTTTTTTATTACCAGATAATGGAAAATAAATGCGAGTATTTACAGAAATTTTATTATTACCAGGTAATGAAAAATAAATGTGAGTATACTGAGGCCTGCGGCTGTCTCACATGATATTTTATTGAACGCTTTGTGGTTCAGTTGTAAACCCACTTTTCCGACTCAGGTCTATACATTTAGTAGTCTTCCCATTCAGAATGGTTCTTTTGTGACGTATAAGAGAGCAAGTGAGAATGGTATAATGAATACCTTGGTGGTGTCAGGATTGGTGTCACATATAGATTGATGTAGAAGTTTTACAGTTTAAATCTTTGACATTCTACAGTATAACTGACCAACATTTACATGTAACCATTACACCACCACCACATCCCCAAAAAGGGTGTTTAGAAGTTGTAATGGTAGACATTCTCAACATGATCACATGATCCGTCCCCCCAAAGGCTATAACTTCAAAACCATTCCACCCAACTCCACAAACCTTTCTGTATATATCAGGTTAGTGCCCTTGTTGAAATTTCTTTTTCTCAGCTACCAGGGAAACAGATAACCCTCATTACATCACTAAATTCAAGATAGTTACCTGGTACTCAAAACTTGTACAGGCATCAAGCTGGTACTCTAGAAATTCTCCATTTCAATACTTTGTATGGAACAATAAAAATTAACAAATAGAAATTAAACTTGTAATATTAACACACATATATATATATATAGATATATATGATTGTGTCTTTCTTTTAAACAGTGGGGCGCAGGGGATATTGTCAGGCTTTACGTCATTATGTTTATTGATATTTCGGATATTTTTTTTACTCTTAACCTGTCTGGACCTTGATTATACAGTCAACAGCACCAAATCACCTAGCAAAGAACTTTTTACCTGCCTGACAGTTATATCCCCAACAAGGATGTTTAAAGTTGTAGTGATGTACAGCTAGAAATTCTTCACATGTATATATAATGATGTTTTATGTAAAAAAGTTAAAGAGAGTTTTTAATTAGTGGTTTTATTGTTGATATGAGCGTATGAGGGGCCTTATGTAAATGTTTGATTTGTACATTCCTCAGTACAATCGTACCTGTATATACACATTCCAGGACTTTGAATGCTTTTCCAGTGTAGATATTTTAAGCTAGTTTGTGTTTATGAGCTTCAAGGATCTTGCCACTAAATGTATGAAATATTTTTAAAAACAGGAAACATGTTATAGTAATTACATAATGTACTATATTTCTTTGTTTACCATGTGAGCTGTTTCAGCTGTTTTTACTGATCAATAAATTAACATGGTGTAACTATTATTACAACTGATTTATTTTACTCCGTTTGTGTGCGTTTACTGTTGTGATTAGTTTAGAAAAGATCATGCAGTTTTGACTGATACTGTTGGTCATTATTTTTTTGCTGGAAGTATTTTCTCATTCAATGACCAACTCGCAGCCATATCTGGAAGTATTTACTCATTCAATGACCAACTCGCAGCCATATCTGGAAGTATTTACTCATTCAATGACCAACTCGCAGCCATATCTGATTTGTTATCTGATTGTGTTCAACAAGGACTACTAGAGATGTAGATTCTCTTCTTTTAGGACTACGAGGTACATGTTTGGTTGAAACACTAGAAATACTTTTGTATGAACGGTTGTCATTAGACTCCTTTCTTGAACTTTCAAATCTGTGAATTACACGAATTTTGCAGAAAATGCTGAAGGGATCTTCTTGATATTTTACATATGATGTTCCTGTATAATCATGCAACACATATCAACACAAGAACACTCAAACACAGTGCTGAACAATAAAACATCTTAAGTATTGATGAAGATCACGATTATAAATAGATGATATTCTTTGTGTTTTGACGAATATGTTATACTTCATTTAGTAGAGTGGAAAATTTATATATATCACAAGTGAAAAAAATATCAGAAGTGTCTAACAAGACGAGATATAACTATTATACACCAGGAAACAAAGTATGTTCTATCTATTACATTCTTTTACACTTTTAATTTGCTGTTTGTTCTTTATCTTAAATGCATGCTCTATTACTACTACCCCAGATCATCAGATTTATTTAACAATATACAAGTATGGATTCATTCGTATGAAATACTCAGATTTAATTCAGATTGACCAATATTAACAAGTTTTAAGTGATTAGATTAGCCCTCCCCATGTTGTGACTTTCACAGAGATATCTCATTTGGACATCAGATTCACTGCTCTGTGTCCTCACATAAAACATACAAGAATTTTGTGCCATATTTGTCGTCATGTATCCCTTACCATTTAGTTGTCCTTGCACATAATTGTAGATTTGAGGATATTTACTACCCGGATAATAGATATATTTTGGTATATCTTATCTGTGAAATCCAATGTTAAGTTATAAGAACATCGAACTGGTAATGGACATCTGATTGTTGTTTTACCGAGAAATTTTTTGAAACAGTGAGGTGTAAAAAAAAAAAGGGGGGGTTACTTTAATGAAAATCCAGTGCAACTGCTTGTTGTTTTACTCAGAAATTATTTGTAAAATTTATAAAAAAGTGAGAAGGTAAAAAAAAAGGTCAAGTTACTTTATTGAAAATCCAGTGTAACTGTTTTCTGTAGTTACATCCTTTTGAGTTACCAGGTATCTAAATTACTGTGTACTTGTTCAAAGATTTCAAATAGTTAGTATTTTCAGAATGTCATTTTTTTTAAGAAATTGTCCTAAAACCATGAAGTGTCATAATTAAATTGATGCGAGGTTATCTGATGGCACCAAAATATGTGGGTTTGCAATTTTCAGTTTGTTCTGTTGTTCTTAAGATAATTTGTGTTATCTTATTTTACATAGTACATTTGTCTACTCCAAACAAAGGTTATTTATTCTTTTATAGATTTAACCAAATTATTGTCATTTCACCTGGTAAAAACACACCAGGTACACTCATATATAAATTCAGTTGCAAAAAATATTGTATATATTTATTAATATATGTTACATAGTACTTTACTGATCATTTCGTTCATGGGGTTTTTTTGTTTGATAAATTTAAACTGTAGTTCAGTTTTTTTTTCTTTTGTCTTGCTTTTATGTCTCAATTAGTGTTATCTATTCACAATAAAATGACAGTAAATTGATACTGTGTTAAGTTTTTAATTCACTCTCATTTTTATCAAGGCCATTTTCTTCCTCCGACTTCTTCTCTGCCTACATGAATGTCATGACCTCAAATGTTTTCTACCATGCATGCAGTATGTATGTATGACAAAGACACTAGTTGTGAAACAAGAGATCTCAGAGGGATCTTGGCACCAATTATCGCTTAATCTCTATTTTGTTATTTAAAAATCGGTGTCTTTTCCCAAGCTCTTCTTCCCTGTTTTTGCTCCTAGTTAATTAAGGTATGTGAAATTTGCTAATTCTTCTCCAAGAATTAGTGATATTAATCTTTTACCATCAAATTCAAGATGGACACCACCCCTTTGCCCCACGGGTGTCAGCCAACTCATTTATACATCATTCAGCTTCAACCAAGGATGCTTCAAACCACATTTAACAGAATCCTGTAATTCCTACAGAAGCAAAATTTAAAGAATTTACACAATTTTCCCGACTGAGCACCATCCCTCCTGCTCAAGACCGAATATTTCAGACCAAATCGGGACAGAATCCATGCATTCCTATAAAAACTATGGTAAACTTTACCCCTTCCCAGGGGGAAATTCATTCTCCCCATGAACAGCTTTGATTCAACCATATCTGGGTGATGAGAAGAACGGTTTTGAAATGATGTCAACTGGACTCCTTTTGGCTCAACACATCAGTTTCTGGGGGTCAGCCAAGATCAATGTGTGAATACCAATAAGCCTTCATCCTTTGGTCATAATTTTAACCAAGTTTGAAATATTTCCAATAGAAATTAAACAAATTATGCTAAAAGATATACTTTTCCTAGATAAAGTAAAGCAAACTTTACCCAATGTGCATTTTATTTCTACCATATCTGGCTATTAAGATTTTTGAAATTTAAGTCAGTTTGACAGTTTCTGACACTGCCCCTCAAGCCCCTGAAAGTGTGGAACATCATTCACTATTTTGGTTCATCAGGGAAGCTTTCTGCAAAATTTCATGGAAATCAATTCAAAGGTTTTTGAGATGAAGTTGAAAATGTTTAAAGTTTACAGATGCAGAACGCTAGACAAACTGCAATTGCAATAGACCACCATATGACTTTGCCTTTGGTGACCTCAAGACCCTCCATTTATACAAAATTGAGTCCCTCTTCCGTTAAAGATACTTCTGACTGAATTTGGTCGAAATCCACCAAGTTGTTCATGACTAGCAGTGATTTCTACAACAATTTGATGAATAGACAGATGACACAGTACATAATAAGACCACTTGGCCCTTTGGGAGCTAAACATTGCAATCACAAACTTTCATAGTAAGAACAAAGATGGCTGCCTTTCAGGTATTTCTTCAAAACTCAAAAGGGCACAACCAGGGACTAAGGGGAACTTACATACAAATTTGAGCATGATCCATCCTGTTCTTCTCAAAAGAAAAGGCGATAATTAAAAATTATTAAAGTATAGACAGATTCACAGCAAATGAAAAGAAATTTAAAAAGCGCATCATCTGATGGTTGACTAAAAATTTGATTGCCTCTCTACCAATGTTGCTTTTGACTAAGTTTGAATGAATTCCATAAAGTAAATTTAACGGAAGGCAGACAAAACATGACTTATGTAAATAGGCACCTATAACTAAGTAAAAAAATGTTAAGAGAAATACATTTATTGATTCTAAATTTCAACAATATCCTTCAAAATGGTGAAAAAAGAACAAAACACTTTCATCAGACGGTACATTTATTGTGGCCCATCCATGTACACTTACATATTATTCATTCAATTGTACACATATTCACATATCTACAATATCCCTGCAACAATTCACAACATAGGATTATCAATATCATTCCATTTTAAAACTCATCTTGCAATGAGAGTCACCAAAGTTTGACACTTTAAGTCGCACTATGTAACGTGACACAAAACAGAAACATACTACAGTTATAACTACAAAGAAAGCATTACAGAGACATTCACAAGTGACAATTGATTGTAAAATATAAAACATCTCAAAACTTCTATTTTTGCAATAAAAGTAGAAGAAACTTCTACAGTAAAACTTTGCTTTCATTCTCTTCCCCATTGAAAACATCTTGTGTATATTTCCATGATTTTCCAAGCACTTTGGAACATACTGTTAATATCTGTTTTTTTAAATTCAAAAGATTCCGTCCTTACATCTTCTTACAACTTGACACACACCCTATCTTTTACAATTTAAAAAATCCTCCTTTCATCCTGCTACAAACACAAATACCTTTCTGCATGAGTGTTAGTCCTTTTTCAGTCGTATTCTTCATATTAGTTTTAGAACTGATTTTAAAATTCACTTGGTCAGTCAGCTTTTTACTTTTATTTGGACTGTATTCCACAAGGAGGCATGTAGTTACTTTATATCACTGTTAAAACCTACAAATTATCCTTTCTAACAGTGATGTCAGTAAAAAATGCATTACCTTATTCTATTACAAATGGTAAATAACGTTATCAGTTGTCTCATTTTGAATGTACAACATGACAACAATCACATCAATTTTAGCTTTAAATCGTCAATATTTACAAGACTGTCAAGCGTTCTTTACACGTAAGTTGTGTATTTACAAATACAATTTTACTAAAAATGTCTTTTAAAACATCTTGGATTTGGATTTCACTGCCTAGTACTTAAAGGAATATCACAATAAAACGCTTAAAACAATGGCCTAAAAAGGATATATAATTTTGTGATCAGATTTGATTCGATAGATAGTTTAAAAAATCTTCCATGTTAATCACTGATAATGTTTCTGTCAATTCTTGTAATGTAACATTCACCATAAGGTATCGATTTATTACACCACTGAATAGCAATACTAAGAGATACCCTTTCTGATAGTACCAAATTAGTTAAATCTCTAACAGAAAATGGAAATCACTTCTGTTGTCAAAATCTCAAATAACACTTTTCGGTAAACCAATCAGGGAAACTGGCATGTTCATCCCCAGAACATAAAACACCAAAAATTTTCTATGCTTATCAAATAGAGACCTAATTGCAAAGTACAGACTGCGGCCAATGAAAAATTATGCTACATCTTGTCATGATCAATAGGTATGGCACTTGAATAATATCAGGCATGCTGTTACTGATCCACTAAATTTTTACTTTAGAATGGGCAAATTCAAGAAGTTTTTTTTCCTCCAATTTGAACCCTTTATTGTACATAACTTCTTATTGTCTAAAACCTACAATACAACAATCAAATTGGCTTGAAAACCTAGCATTTTCCCAGATTCATTTTACCCTCTTTATCATGGAATGTTTTATAATATATGAGAACATTCCAGGTAGAGATGACATGATGCTTAGTTTTTCAACCAAAACAAGTGGGACAACTCTCAATCTGACATATTAGCATGAAATGCAAACTGTGATGTGAACATATTATTAATGATTCTGGTGATGAACAAACAATAATCATGATTTCTGTCTGAATTACACATATACTTGATGTAGCAATGACTAAAACACTATCAGATCAAAATTATAGAACAGTAATGAGGTTACTCTATTAGATAATATACTCCATCCACTTTCTAGAGGAAGCAAGTTTAATTCATCATCCCAAAGTTTCTACCCACATTTTACCACAGAAAGAATATCTTCAGTGGGTGGAGCCATTAGAGCAGTCAGATTTTAAATGAACATCCTATTAAATAGTACATCAATTGACTAAGTGCAGCTCTCTAAAAGAAGCTACACTAGAACAAAAAATACATCATTCATTTTAATTTTGTATTATACAGTCACTATTTGTCCTGCCAACTTTTGGTAAAGTGAAGTTTGGCAATACAACAATGGATTCTTACAGAAGAATTGTGAAGTAAACAATGAAAAGCTTGCCTTGAAATATGTCAATGATACTAGTTCCCCTTGCAACAAAGGGTGGTATTTGTCTTACTGAATGGTATCACTACTTACCAGGCTGTGTTTTACTGCTGGAATAAGTATCACTATGTTAGGTCTAAAAAGACAAGATTTCTCAACTACCATGTCTGTGTGACTGGGTGAGTTAAAATCCACCTATTATATGTTAAGTCCGCTGACCATAAAACATTCTAAATTTGTCCACAGGTAAGAAATCTAAAAAAAGCAATTTACAACAAAAATGCTCATTACCGTATATGGACCAACAATGAATAATGATTAATGATTAAGCAGATACAAGAATACTCTGAAACAATTTGTTCATTAATGAGACCAACTAAATCTGTCTTCGTGAAGGCTTGTGTAGTTTCAGAATCAGTGGACCAACACAATGTATTTTGCAGACATGGCATTGTCAGTCAAGGTCTTGTTGGCTAGGTCTGTTACTCAATCCAGTAACTCCCATCAGGTATATGGATCACTTGGTGGACCTCCGGGAGGGTTCCGAGGCAGTAGGGGGTGGCGGGACACCTTTCCTGTCCAAGTCGTCAATATAGGACATAAGGATCTTGTTTCTTTCATCCTCCACACAGTCCAGGATCAAGTAGCGTTTGTCATTCTGAAACCACACAGATATCTCATATCAATATTACATACAGTAACACAGAAACGGATATTCTTGCATCTGAGATTCAACAAGGAAAACTTGAAAATTGATACTTAAAATAAACATATCATTTGCATTGTTTTGCTTTGTTTTCAGTAACTTTCATTTTAACATTTCAACAAAAGAGATTTGCATATTTATTAAAAGAATTCTAGATTGCTAACTCCTTAGTCAAAACATGCCTATAGGGGGAAGACATTCTATTAACTGTGGCTAGATTTAAGTTTTATTGTTGGATTACATCCTATTAACAGCCAGGGTCATTTAATGTTTGGGTGGTGTCAGAAAGCCTGAGGTCCCTGGAGATAAACCACCGACCTGCAACCTGTACCTTGAATCTGCAACCCAGTAGAGGGCTGTGATAAAGAAGCTCATAGGCCTTTTTGGCTTAATCACTTGGCCACTGTGGCTAACAGGTGATGTCATGAGCCAGACAAAACAAAGTCTTACCTGTAAAATAGTGATGATGTCCTTCATGTGTGAATCTGATTCTTCCAACAGCTTCTTAGATCTGTAAAAGAAAGAGAAAATAATGAAGTTTTAGTGCCCGCCAATCCCATTTCATTCCACTTCTTTGTTTTAATACACAAATGATTACAAGCATATTTATCACATTAAAGTACAATATATTTACCAGTATAGTCCTGTATTCTTACCTGTAAGTTATGAGTTTGGATTCCTTTAACAGTTCTCGGAAGTCAGCCTTAGCTTGTACATATTTTTCATGTAGATAATCATTAAATTCCTTTTCACGTTTCTATAAAAAGAAACATTAACTGTTAGTTGCAGGATAAAACATGTGACATTTCTACATTCTGCTGTTATTCTATCAGAGGGTAATTTCAGTATCTTACTCCAAATTTTATCACATGATTGCTGCTGCATTATTCAATAAACCCAAATAATACTTTTATTCTATTTTTGTATTGAAACAACTGTAATATGACATACTGAAATATCAAAAGGTGAAAATGAACTGACATCACCTTCTATAACAACATATGACAATAAAAATAATACAATTTATTGTAACCTTATGAGAAAGCATTTTAACAATATCCCTAATTCATCGAATGCATTATGACATCATAACAGAGACAAAATGATGCCAAAAATGACATAGCAAAGCATGGGTCTGTAATATCTCCAAAACTAGTTGTAATGTGATAAAAAGAATATCAAATTCCATTTCATATCATTTCTATAACTCTTGCCGCAAATTCCCAATAATCCAACTTTTGCATTATTCAGCATCTCTGTTTACAGACACCCATCACAACAGAAACACTTTGATATCTTACCCTGTCACTGGAGGAAAACTTCACATATCTTGGATCTTCTTTTATCTGCTTTTTTATTTCTTTCCATGTGGATGTAAGACTGGGCTGAAAGGAAATTTAAATACATGTAATCACAAAGATAAAAAACACTATCTTTACTCTAGTATTGATCATACTATTTCATGGGATGCAGACATCACACAAAGATAACACAGTCACATTCAGTCTCATGCATCCAATAACATATGGTAATTGTTTAAACTTCTAAGTGAAAAATAATCTAAAAACAGTTTAAATTTTCTGAAATTTAATATGACTGATTAATGTGGGAATGACAAAAATAATCTGAAATTAATCAAACTTCCAAAAAGATATGATAACCATTCCACTGATGAGAGACAATCATCTTCAGCCCATTTTCAGAATTTTGAATGAGGAAAAATATTTGTTGCTAATAAAGTCATCTAAGTTAACTTCATTGTATCAATGGGACATATTTGAGAACATTCCACTCAAAACTTATTTAAATGAAAAATACTTATTTTAGGATATCAAAAACATCTCTATTCCACATTCCAAATAACCTAGAAACAGTCTCTCAGTTACAATATCAGCATGTATAATGTACTACTGTATCATTCCTTCATCTCGAGATCCCTGAATCTCGGCAGATATAAACTTAAGTACCACGGTACCATCCCTTATTCGCGGCAGATATAAACTCAATTACCATTGTATCATCCATCAGTTTGTGGAACATATCCTTGTTTTTCTTGTTGAGGTTATCGATATGCTCCTCAAACAGTTTCTCCTTTTCGTCACGGTCCAACAGATCAGCCAAATCCCAGCGATGGTCCTTTCTCAGCTGCTTGCGTGTATCTCGCCAGGTTACTTCTGAGTTACGAACCTGAAACATTTGATATGCTCACTGTTGGGAGTGGTAACAAGATCTACATTTTTATGCAATTCTTTCAAGTAAAACTTAACATGTTTTCCACCAGATTCTGGTTTATTTTTTGAATCCTCAAAAGATGCTATAAAGTTTTTATATTTAACACAGAAAATGTCTGCAACACATAAATGTTCCTGCTTCCATGAATGTAAGTACCATTAAGGAGATAACGCTATTGTGTTTTGAAATTTCTTGCAGTATATTTTTATTATATTAGTGACACATAAAGGAGAGTAAAAAGATGTCTTCTGACATGTTCTGATGACATTGTTTCAGAACAGAACACACTTGGACTGGGTAAGACAGGAAGGATGGACATGGTAGCAATATATTATGCCTCCCAATACCACAGATTTCTGCTGTAGATCTTTACTATCATATCAATATACACAAATACTGCAGTTCTATAAGAGTATAGTAAGAACGGTTTCTCACTAGAAAAATGTCCACCTTTTTTCATCAATGGTACTATTGCTGAAGTAAAACATCTTTCTATATCAAAGATCACTTACCAGGTCAGAGAGAAGGGCATTAAAAAGCTGCATAGCTTCATCTTTCTTGTGCTGTTCCCTTTCCTTATCACGCTCACGTAGAGATGAAGATAAAGACCGTTGTACTTCTTCCTCACGTTTACGGATGCTTGCCTCCACTCGCTCCTGTTTCTCTCTCTCCTTCTTGTCATTTTCTCTATCTTTTTTGTCATCTTCATCTTCTGATACAGGCTGTACATAATACAGATCACTTATATGCATTATACAACACCACCAACTACACTGCAGTCTAAATCACTAGATGTTCATAGGATTTCAGCAGTAAACAAATCTAATATGTTTCAAATAAAGCAAAACTTTCATAGTTGAAGATGACTAATTATATCTAAAATGGAAACAATTATGAGCTTTATGAAAATGCATTAGATCATAGCAAATCAGTACAACCTCATGTCTTCTCTTTTCATTATCCTTTTCACTATCAACTTCTCCCTATCAAAACTTGAAACTTAACTAAGTACTTTCATGGCACATCACAAGAGCACAATATCAACCCTATATAAACTTTTTATTTTCAATCTAAATGTTGGTAAATATTTCCTTCTAATATCACTCTTCACAGCTGATGCAAAATCTACTCACATCTTCCAACTTCCTTGCATAATCCTTGAACCAATCCTCTCGTCGAGAACTGCTGTCCACTGCTTTGTATCGTGGATCAGAGTCAATCTTGCGTTTTATCTCACTCCAACGAGAGTGTCGCTCAATTTCAGAAGTTTCCCTCAAGAGTGACAAGAAGTCAGACTTCAGCTGTAAGGGACAAGACAACCATGTAGAAAAAGGAAGTTATAAATAGGCAGAAAGTACATGTTTAAGGTTTGTAATGCTACACAAATTACCTCTGAATTGTTCAACTGAACCAAAATAAAAAGACAATCTCCATGAAACAATGAGAAGTCCAGTAAGTGCAGTAAAGTGATGTCATTATGTATTTATTTGGAATTTGTGTAGCATTTCTAACACTAGCTGTTTGGAGTAAATTTCCTGAAAAGAAAATTTCATTACAAATCGAAACCTTACATTGCAAATGTTAAAATCCCTCTGAAGCTTTAAACCATTGATGATAAGGAAAACACAGATAATGTTGATATCTTTATCAGCAGAAGCAATTACCATACAAGAAATATTTTATTTAATTATAAAACAAGAAAGAACTATCATATAGCACAGTGTTACCATCATTTATAAGGATATTCATCATTACATGACTATGAAAGAAAGACGGCATAAGTGATCAAACGTTTTTAAAGACTTCATTCAAAGCTGAGAATTATATTGTCATTATGCTCTCAATAGGTAAACTTTGAACAGATGAGACATATGTAAAAGACAATGTTACAGGTGATATACAGATGTACATATGTTCTTTACATGTCACAAATGTATCAATGTTACCATGTTGTAACTGATTCTTTCAAAAGACAAGTAGTAAGATGCATTAATGTGTATAAATTGACAATAATACAATAGATGCATAGCACATTGAAATCAATATTTTTTTGTAAATGTCACATAAGTGAAAAGGGATTATAATTTACATATAATCTGTTAATACTGTTTTCGCAAATATGATCATATATCTTTAATAATGATCTCTATTTGTGACACAATGACAAAATTTATGTAAATTCATTGAGCCCAGTATTATCAACAAAAATACATGATATATGTCAGTGAATTGCTGCAATGATGTATCCTTTCCTTATCTATCAGCTATATGAGAAATCAAAGCTGCTCAATGTACTGTACACTACAACTTTGAGGGACTTCTGTCTGTGATCTTGTGATAGTTACTGCAGATAGAATCAATGATTGTGTTACAAGTACAATCAACGAACACCTTGACATATCAACAGCTAATAAATAAGTGTAAGTACACATGATCACATGTGGAAACATTTCATCACTGTAAGACACAGCTATCAACAGGTTCTTTATCAGATATTTGGTAATACTTTCTGGATCTGATACTAAAATAAGCTTGTTGTACAGTAATGAAACATTTCCAAACTGTATGTGTTACCAACACATTTAACTCAGCAGAATCTGGAATCATCAAATTATAAAATATTCCAACACAGACTTTCTTTTGATAAAGATAGGCATACAGATCTTCAAATGGCTGTTCACACCAGTTCTGTCAATCCTCAAACATAAGCATGTCAGTTTTTTTTTGGTTTTTTTTTTTTTTTTTTTTTTTTTTTTTTTTTTTTAAATATTTTAATATAATAAATAATATATTTTTTCATCTAACACTGAATAAGTGCCTGAGCTTTGTGTTGGCACCACATACCTACACAAATATAAATGCAGTTGATACTTTCATCTATTGATATCACAAATCTGTCTCTTCTCCTCTCATGTGATTTATTTATAATATCTCATTTTCATTCATTCTAAAACAGAAGTTTGTATTCTCATCTACGAAATCAATCTATGATTATTTATCAATGAATAAAATGGAAAATAAAGGTTTTAACAAAATCCTTAACATTTTAAACATAGCCATTAGCCTTTTCAAATTGAAATCTGATTTTAAATTTCAATAACAAATGCTGAAGATGAGACACAAAAATACTGTTATCAATGGTTTGACTTCTATATGCAAGGAACAATTCACTTTTTAACTCCCTTCATAGCACAGGAACATTTCAAAATAAGGAAGTAATAATGAATTTTTTCTTTTCTCTTTCAGAAATAAATTAACAGACAGAAACCCAGTACTGCTCTTCAATCCTTCAAATAAATCCCAGTTACACATTAAAAACCTCCCCATCAACGTAAGCTAGTATCAGACTAGATTCAAGATCAACCTATCTAGACCAGAGAACACCTTGCCAAAATCTACCTCTCTTCTGAAGCCAAATAAAAAATTAAGCTATATGATCGTTTTCAAAGTCAAGATAAACCATTCCCATTACTGTCTTTAGTTAAATATGGGTTTCTACAGATTTCGTTATATTTCTCAAACTTGATGCCGTAAAATGTATCAACTATCTAGAGAAACACATGCTGGATCATTCAATATATAATCTGAATCAATTATCACTAAAATAATTGAAAATCGGTAGAAATACATATTCAACAAAAACCTGTTTTTATTCTTATCCAACTATTACCTAGTTCCCAATCATGAAACAATTCTAAATCATTTCTCTATATCAAACACCTTGGAATTTACAAATTCAAATGAAAAAAGGAATCCTCCCTCCCTGATCACATATTGTCTTCAGGTTATCAGATGTGTATAAATGGATCATTTTTCCAAAATTTTCAGAAATCTATTTAATCAGTATAGCAACATTATGTAACAGGCAAACTTTAAATAGAAACTTGATCAAATACCATAAGTCTCATAAAGTCTTAGTGTCAGACACCAAAAAGCTGTTCTGGGTCGAGTGTCGGTCACGCTAAACACATAGGGGTGAGATTTCCTCACATTTCAACCTCCAAGTTTAGAGCTTGGCTCTCTTGCCGATATCAGCCTCTTTCGAAAAGGGACAAATCAAGGAATTAAAGCACATTATGTCATATTAATAATAGTTATTAATTCACAGCCTTGTGGCTCTCTTTTATCAGAATATATGGAAAATTTATGCTTTATAATCATAAGTAGACTTCAAGATATTTATATTGATATGAGATCCATTTAAAATCATCATTATATTTTTATCATCAAAAGACATAAATGATGTTTATAATAACATTTGAAAAATTATAAAAGTACTTTACAATTATCAGATCATATCGGAATTATAATAAATCAAAATAAAATTATTAAAATTCTCAAGAAACAATACAATTACAGTAGAACAAGGTAGCAAGAATGTATTCGAATTATCAGGAAATCATATAAAACATTTCAATATGTTACCAAATAAAACCATAGTAATCAAAGCAGCTTATATTATTTGAAATTGTATCATATTATAGATGCAAATATTTTGTTATATGGTCATCAATTAGGAAATCATATTTTTATAACTGATGGAAACTTTTCAAGAATAAATCTGTTGGTCTGTTATTCCTTGATAATAGCCCCAATATAAATTTTCAAAAAAATGACTGCATTTAGTTTTCCCTGTTCTAAATCTTCAATTAATTTCTCATTTTCCTTTAATTCCTTGGGGGTGTTTTTTTTCAAGAATATCAAACCAACAGAATTATTCCTTGCTGAAATAAAATTGTGTATCAAACTGAAAAGGAAAAGCATGTGACATACAAATCTGAATGATTTAGTGCTTTGTAATATCTAAGAAAAAGTTGAAACGACTATTCCAAATGTTCTCATACTTTGATCAATAATTTGTCAAACTTCACTTCAAAATAGTAATCATGGTATTTACAATATTCATTTAATCATACAGAATTCATTTCTTCTATTTCTGTTTCACATATTGAGCAGATCATTTAACAGATTTTAACCAGCAAAATGCAATACTAGACACTGATAGTAATATTAGATATTTTTGACAAAAGATTTTGAGTAATTCATTATTAACAATAGAGATTTCAGCACAGCCTTTGACGCTACAAATATTTCTCAGTTCCTTTCACAGGGATCCATCACATATATACCAGGAATTGTCACAATAAACACAAGAGAAATAATGATATAATATATATATTCTGTGTAATAGATGAAGTATTCAGAGTTCTTAGCTTATCCTTAAAGACAGGAATGTGATCTGATCAATATTCAGCTTATATCATGCAACTCCTCTGATATGTGGCTCTAACGAAGTGATATATTATCAAGTATGAAACCAAAGAAAAAGTATACAAGGAAAGACTCAGACTGACTGCCATTAAGTAAGTAGACTTTTCCCTTTTTAATGCAAGTTTAGATTAATTAGCAAGAAGATCCTTTTACAAATTCTAATCTTTTGTGATTATTCCTATCAATGACTGGCACTTTTTGAAACAACTGGTCTGTCATAATAGTGATTTGACATGATGATATTTTTGGTCAAGGTGTGTAAGAAAATATAAATAAGAGGGCCATGGCCCTTAACAGTCATCTGATGGATGGACAAACCACGGAATTCATTGATGGTGGTCAGACAAATCTGATGAATTAGAATTTTGAACATTCCTTGAAATATCAAACCTCGTAAATGGTAGGTTCTGTACATGAAAAACAGTTGCACCACCATGTTACAAAATAACTACTGTGGTTGCCATGTTGAAGTTTTGATCACTGAAAACTAACAAATAATCATCTCTTTCCTTTGTTTAAAAAAATGTTAAACTTCAAATATTTTTCTCATGGGTGTGAATGAAACATGAGAAGAAGTTCAGACTATCTGTTCTAGATGAGTAATGTTGGATTTTAGCACAAAGCGTAAAAGATTTGATAAGGACAATATCAGGATCACTTCATGCATCTTTGATATCACTGCCACTCCTTGATAATGTTTCAAGCCAAATTTGGTTGAAATCCGCCTAGGCATTAAGCAGGAGTAGTATTATAAAGGATGGACAATAGTAATGAGTCATCTTGACCACTTGGTTCAGATGACCTAAAAATCAACAACTGATAGTTAAAGGAGACTTGTGAAGAGTCCTGTGAAAGTTCACATGAGAAACAGCTTTAACAGTTGGCACAGTGCACATCTTTGATTAATCATGATCTAAGTATCATTTTGTCCCTGGTATCCATGTTTCATCTTTGTATACATACCCTTTCTTTTTGGAGTGATTTTTCTTCCTTCTCTTTCTTCCTCAGGTCAGAACAGTAGTCACTGAAAATGGACTCTCTTTCTCTCATTTTGTCGATAGCTTTAAATCGTTCATCTTTGCCATACTTTGCAGCAAAATCACTGAAGGAAGATCTACAAAACCGACATCAAAAACCATCACAAATTTGCTTATGCAAAACACAAGCTCAAGATATATTATACCTAGAAAAATCCCTATACAGTCTTAGGACCCAAAGTCCTTTTGACTATGAATCCTTGACTGAAAATCACTGGCCTTCATCATCATATGAAGGGAAATCAGTGTAAAGATTAATTACTTTTCCAAGGTATGGGATTTCCTGTGTTGTGCTGACATGTTTTGCACAGAACAGAATTCTTAAATAACCTAAGTGACCTTGACATTTATACAACTGATTTGGAATATCACTTCAGATCTATCTTTCTTTATGTAGAACGAGTTTGATGATACTCTATACCCTAGTTTTCTCTGAATCATGCTGACGTTTTAACTGGATAGGTGTACACACCTTAAGAGTAGATTAATGTAAATTTGTTGTTTTCAAACATAACAACTTAACTTTGTTTAATATAAACAAGTTTTTATTAATGTTATTTGTTTGATTCAATATTTGAAATACTACCACAAAAAATATACTACCACATAACAAAATGCAAAACGATCACATTAACAAGACATTATGTCATCAAAGTATCTACACCGAAATTTTTTCACTTAAACCGTGTAATTACAATATCTATATTCAACTGATTACAGTATTCATATTTTTTTTACTTAATATGATACTTAAAATGTAGAGTAATTTAAGTACTTAAGTAATTGAACATGTCATATCTCAACATGAAAAAGTTTTCAAACATATTGTGATTCAACAAATAAAGCAACTGATATTGTTTTCAGTCAACAAGGAATACATCTTAATAGGTCACACAATTCAGTTATTCAAATTTCCTTAACATTACTCAACAGTACTATTTAAGCTGTTCTGTATAAGGCTTTTCCTATCCTGTGACTTTAGCAGGCTTACTGGCTGCATGGTGGGACTCCAGTATCAGTCTCATTGCCCTGTCACATAACAGAAGGCTTTCTGGCTAGGGGATGGCTCTCCACTATCCTTCATATTAAGTCTTCATACATGACATTTTAGCATCATCATAATATTCTTATATCCTACCATGGAGCATTGGATTGATATCAAATCATTTACTAATAAATGCATTTCTCTTTAGCAGGATGATTGATACATAAATCATGATAATTTTTACAATACTCACTGCAGACTTGATTCATTTTCACAAACATGATGAACATATGATGACTTTCCACTTTACCCAGAAGATTAAACTACACAGAGTGATATATATATGATTTTCTGTTGTTAATATTCATCGATCTAGTTCTTATCATCACAGGAATATGTACGTATTATCACCGAGATATGCTACCGACTCCCTAACAAGAAAGTGATCAAAGTTTTCTTCCCAAATATATCACAAGTATAAAAACAATGATACATACTTTCCATGAAGTCTCGCCTCTTCAAGCAGTTGGCGGAAGGAGTCCTTCCTCTCGCGTAGTTTTCTGTGCTTCTCTCTTCGCTCCTCCTCAGCTCGCTCCTTCACATATTGTTCAAATACCTGTTTACGTTCCTTTGAGGTCAGCAGCAAGTAGCGGGGGTCAAACACTATCTTGTGGAGCTCCTTCTCCCAAGTAGAAAATGCAGACACCTGGAAAACACCGAGTCAGTAAGGTCAAACACACATATATTATAAAGGAGAAATTTTACTTACTCAAAAAATGCATACTATTATGCTTTTCAGTAGTATCCAGGTTTGGAAAAAAAAATCAAGAATCTTTGTTAATACTGTAGTTGTAAATTTTAGAAAGTGTACAAGATATATAATTTTTCTTCAATAAAAAAAAATGTGGTATTTCATAATTAGGACAAAAATGACCCTGAAGATGTTGTAGATCTATGTTTCTGAAGGAAAACATTTTAATAATATTCTTGTCATTTATCACTCCAAACTATGACTTACCTCCTTCTCTGCTAACATGTCTCGGAACTGCTTCATGCGGATATCCAACGGCACCACTGCTCGCTGTCTTGCTGCCTGTACTTCTGCCTCAATAGCTGCTTCCTTACCTACATCTATCCTCTTCACTTCATCCTTCTTGTCCTCTGTCATCTCATCCATCCTACAAACATTACATCACAAACATATGTACAACACAAATTTTTAACATTTTTCAAAAGTTCTCTTTGATGTGTTAATATTATCAATTATGGCATTTGTACTTCCAATATCATTCTTTTTCTAATTTTCTTATTTTCATTTTAACTGCTATGATTTTTCCAATCATTTTTTCTACTGAATGATTCCCCTAACAGCCTATTACATGGGACTAAATGTACATCTAGTACAGCCCTGTATGCAATTTCTGTTAAAGAAATAAAAAATGGTAGCTATAATAACTTTACACTTACTTCTGCTTCTTGGCCTGGGGTTCTCCTTCCTCCTCCTTCTTCTCAGCTACAACGTCACAATGAAATATTTGTAAATAATTACATGAAATACTTGATAAGGTCAATATATAAGTAGACTGCTTTGCTCTGTTTTCATTAAATACCATACATTTCTTTAACATAGATCATTTCCTGATATTACGTTCTCATGTTTGTTTTTCTCTATACTTTATTACAAATCATATTTACTCTTGGCTGCATCAGGGGGTGCCTGGAGCATCTTCTCCACATCTGGACGTCCTTGGATCTCCTCTGGTTTTTCCCACAGAGAAGTACGCTGACTTGGATTGTAAAAAAAGACACGACCATCCCCAGTCCACACCACACACCTGCCAATACATAGAAATCTACCTATCAGAAAAACTCCTTTGAAGAGCAGAGCAGAGTTCTAAATAGCATGCTATATCTTTAATCAAACTTTCGACCTAGATAAGTCAAAGTAATGAATCATACAGTGTCTTTGTAGTTTATGTTTGGAAATTGGCCTCCTGATCTGTTAATCGCTAGCTGCATATATGTAAGCCTGTTAGTTTGTTGGGTTAATTGCCCATGTACAACCAGGATCTGTCTGTCATTTTGAGGCAGAGTCTCTGTGTAGTAGCTAGTGGCTACCTCATTGAGCAACATACACCCATGTCACATGCCATCTAGAGCAATTACATTAAAGTTTCTTGTCCAAGGACACAACCACAATGTCACAGACTGGTCCATTTCTCAGCTTCCTGAGAAATAAACCACACTGGGTAAGGAGCATTGAATTATGTACCTTGGATCATCTCACAAGGTTACGTACCCAACTGACTCAATTATGGTAACCCCTGCATAAATATAAACAAAGCATCCAGATCAATATGACAGTGTCAGGATCTATTATCGACTTTATATTTAACAATATCATAGGAATTGTATTGAATCTGGATACCTTTCTATGATTTTATTGTAAATGATTCACGGCTTACATAATTTGTATATCCCCTTCAACAGAAACCTTAGTCTTCCACATTTCTGTGAGCTTTGTAATTCATACTACACCGCACAACTTGCATGCTCCATTTTCACTTTAAGCTAAATATAAATCCTCTCCAAAAATCAACTTCTTGAAACTAAATGTTCTGTGTATAAATATAGACCAATGGCTGAAGATTTTTGAAGAGAGTCACAATAAAATGTCACATACCAAGGTGTTCCTGGTACAGGTGTACTGGACACAGGACGTGCCTTCTCTGCTGCCTTCTGTTCCTCTGTCTTTTCATCTTCCTCCTCTTTTTTCTCCTGAAAATACATAAACAAAATTGGTAGAAATCATGATTTATCTGATGTATTACCGTATTGACCTTTGCATCCTAGACCTTTGCATCCTTAACCAACAATCCCTGGGATATCTCAAATGTAACCATCTAGTAAGAGATCAAAGTCATATGTAGGTAAAGTCAATAAGACAAGATATGTTTAGTTTCTTCACACTTCTGTGTTAAGTAAATACAAGACTGTCATTTACTCAATCAATTTCATAATCAATCTTTAGTTTAATTAAGTTATCCATGAAATTTGATGGATATATTTAAAAGCCATGACAAGTGTTCATGAAATTGACATTAAACTTCTTGTTTAACCAAGCAGAAGTTTCTACCAGATGACACAGAGATTATAGTAAATCATCCATTGATATCTATATAAATACAAGTCACTAACTTTCCAGTTAAATGTTTATTCTTACACAACTATAAAGACAATGATAGTTTCCCACCATTTCATTCTACACCTTATCCTATTGTACATCTAACAGTGAGAAAGCCAGTCAGTAACATCACAGTGGTATAGTATTTCACCCCTAAAATCCAAAACCTCAAAGTACCTCTTCCTTTTCTTCCCCTTTTTCCTCTGTATCATTAGGTACTTCCTCTGTTGCCCCGTTGTAGCCATTGACTTGGGTAGTTTCTGTCTGCATCGGTTGAGGCTGTTGCTGCTGCTGTTGCTGGGGAGCAACTGGTGTTGGTAGCTGCTGCTGTTGTTTCTGTGCTATCTTAGCTGGTAAACATAAACAAGGCACTCTGTGAATTGTTATTACTGATTCATTACGGGTGCATAAAAACAATATGGTTTAGATTGCATTTGTAATGGTTATATTTGGGCTCAAATGGCACGAGACATATTGTTTAATTGCTGGTTCAAAGTAAAACATAAATAAATCAATTACATGAAGAGTGTTTATCAAAAGTCATCTAGAAAAAAGTAAAACTAATAAATCTAATGTCTACAGTAGTTTGAATCAGTTACCAATAGGACAAATTTGCAAAGAGACACAGACAAAATCCTTACCTTCCCAGTCAACTAATACTTGTGGTTTGTCCCATGTAGATTCCATAGAGCGTGAATTGTAGAAATATGAACGGCCATCACCGTTTTTATGTTCAGACCATTCAGCAACCTCTGGAGGTTTGGGTGGCATCTGAAAATTTTAAATATTGACTTTTTTGCATTTTGGAATCTTGCTCAGAAAAAAAAATTCTTTATCTTTTAGCAACAATACCTACTTATTGTAATACTAAGTTTCTAAAATCTATCAAAACAAGTATTGAGCCTTGAATTACAAACACATTTTTTTCACTTGAATTTAGCTTCTCATATTCTATGAAATTTGGAAATGTAGGAAATGGACTTTTCACAATCAATATATCTGAAAAATTCTATTTTGTTTACACTTTGCCATATCTATCAACAATAAGTGTTGTAGGTGTGCAACCAAATGAGCTTTCTTAGTGTGACAGAATTACCCATAAAATTACTACCAGTATAATCCAGAGACTGTCATGTATAACCCAGACACTGTCATAAATAATCCAGAGACTATCACATAAGATCAAAACACTGTCGCATTTCATCTAGACTGTTATGTACAATCCTGACACTTGTCACATACAATCCAGGGACTGTCAAACATGATCTAGAGACCGTCATGTATGATTCTAGAGTGTCACAAATGACTGGCACCATGGCACATAAGATCCAGAGACTTTCACATTTGATTAAGAGACTGTCATAAAATATAAAGATACTGTCGTTACATATCAAGAGACTCTCACATACGATACCAAAACCGATGCTTAAGATTCAGAGATTGTCACATTCAAATATCTGTGAGATTAATGTAAAAGTTCACCTGAGTGGTTGGGGGTTTCTGAGCTGCTACAGCATCAGCAGCAGGTTGCTGCGTCTCTGGCTGACTTGGTACTGGTTGAGCAGTGCTCTGGTTCATGGGGGCAGCACTGAAGCCTTGGCCCATCTGATTAAATCCTGTAAAAAGTTTTAAAGTAATTGAGTTTCAATAGTTATTAATTATAACATGTGATTTTCAAGGGTAAAAAAAAATCATTATTCTTCCTGAAGATTGTTGAAAACTAGAAAATGTTTATAAGACATCAATGCCCGAGCTCCTGTATAAACCAGAATATGATCAGGTGTAGAACTTAATTTTATGATACTATTGGCTTAATGTGAACCAAATCTAAAGAGAGGTTCTGATTGAGAACAATATAAAACTGATATTTTTACAATATATGCCCCTTCACCACCTTCACATGAAATGATAGCAGGGGCATACAAATTCTGCAGAGACAACTGTTACCCCCTTTCAAATCACATTCCTTGAAAACAACACAATTTCTCCTCATAAAATCTCTTCAAGACTATGTCTGCAGAGGCCAGACTACACCATGTTTATCATTAATTACAATTTTAAACCATTACTAATAATCAAATCAATCTCCTGGAACTACATTTTAAAGGAAGATATCTTTCAAGAAGATAAATAAAGCTCTTGAAATGAATAGTTTCCTACCTGTCATGTCTGGTGTTGCACTAACAGGGTTTTGGTTGGTGGCAGCTGCTTGAGCTGAAAGGTTAGATACAAGATTACTAAACACAAGATCAACAGAGATCTTTCCTTATTCAATACAATGGTTGAAGCTTTGATTTTATGATTTTATTCTTCACAAAGCAGTATTGCGAATTGGTGAGAAATTAATGTCATATACTCTTAAAGAAATCAGGGCTCTTGATCTGCCAGATTTGGGGCCGACCCCAATGCAAAATAGCATCTTTTTTTCCCAATTTAGACCCCAAGTTTTCCCAATTCTAAGGAAAACACTATTATTTTTCCCAATTCAAAGGGCCTTGGGCCCCAGTCCCAAATTGGGGTGTGAGAGCTCTGGAAATCCAGTATTATTTCTTAAGGTCTATTCAAGCAAAAACATCTACTCCATCCAAGGACTCCAGGTTTTGTTAAAATATACCACCCTACCTGCCACAGAAGTTAACTGATAATTTACTAATAAGTGAGAGGCAGGAAACTGTACCAAAAATAGAAAAGATTTATTTTGGTGTCCTGGAGTAAGTGGATGTTAAACCTATTAAATAGATAAATAATTGAATTTGGAGTCCTTGAGTCAAGAACAGCCCTAAAAGGAATGAACGTTATTTCCATTATTCCACTTCACTAGAATTTCATCTTAATAAAGAGATATGTCTGGTAGAGTTATCTCACCCTGTGCAACTGCAGCCTGTGCAGCAGTAGATGTACCACCTGCAGATGTGGGCGTGTTTGTCTGCAGGGCCTGGGAAGCCATTGCCTCTACATCAGCCTGTGTAATGATCTTCACATTCTCTGGTTTAACCCATGCTGACTCTCTGGTGCGAGCATTATAGAAGTATGCCTGTAAAAATGAAAGCATCAACAAGAGTATCAGTGAAACTGATGAATGCTTCCTGAAAACAGCTTCATTGGACATAAAATATAATCAAAGGGCAATATTTCTGTAACGTAGAAGTTGCAGTCCCTGAATTTGGTATACTGCACATTCTCTTATTATAACCCATGTATACACCAAGTTTCAATAACTCATCAATTATTCAAAATAGAGTTACGGTTTTTGTACACTGTTCTTTTCCTTAATGAGATCTATCTACCTATGAGGTTTATTGTTGATACATCTTATGTTTTTAACGATATGCTCTGAACAAAATTATGACAGCAGACAAATGGACAAACATCAGCATGTAACTAAGTTATGTATGCTAGTTGTTTTCCCGTCCTTTTGTCAGACTTATAAACCAAGCTTTCACAAGTTGCCTGTATAAGACAGCATTTCACTAAACCTTTCCTAAGAAGGGTTCATCACATACATGTACCTAACTAAGACATACTATGTGCTACACAATGGAAAACTCTAACGTTACAGTTATCTTAATGCCTTTGAAAACAGCAAAATGGTGTCAAGTGAACACTGAGAGTAGATAACGGTTCTTATACAAAATACAAACAGGCATGTCATTTTTAATGCAGATACTGTAAGACTCTGTACAGGCCTGTTTTCGTGAGCTCTGTAGGGCTGAATATGGGTCCAATTCCCGAAAGAATTATTTCATAATATTGCCAAATTTCCAAAATATATAGTTCATTCTTAAAAATTTCTTTCACAATTGATCATTTTTTTCCTCAATGACAAAAATGCCCATTCCCAAATGAGCAAAAAAGACAAAAACAAGAAAATAAAAAACAACTTATTATTGAGGCCTAATGATTTTAGCAAAGATGGTATAATAAGGTATTGACTATGTCAGTCAAGCTTTCAAAACTTCAAATTACTAATTCAGACAGAAATTTTTCTAGTTTCAAACTATTTAGCTACCTTTATGTTAAGGCTGAGAATAATGTCTGTTTTATTCAATGGTGCCTACTTTAATGTCTTTGATAGTAACATCTAAATCAAAGTCCACAGAGAAATTCTAGATGGTTATACCTTTCCCTCAGCTGTCTTAGTCTCTACCCAAAGTTCCTGGTTCAGATCTGACCCTGGCACTGCTTGGCTACCTCCAGCAGAGGTTGGTGGCATAAATCCTGGAGGGGGCATTGAAAAATTTGGTGGAGGCATATTTGGTGGTGGCATCATTGGTGGTCGCTGCAGAAAACAGACAAAGTTAAAAATATTCAAATTTTAGATAAAATAAATCAAATTGATAAAACATTTCTTAGATGTACAAAACAACTTACCATTCCAGGCGGAGGCATCCCTGGGGGTGGCATACCAGGAGGCTGCATACCTGGAGGAGGAGGCATGCCTGGTGGATGCCCCGTCCCCTGTGGTGATCCCATCCCAGGTGGGGGTGGACCATAATTAGGATCAAAGGGAGGTCTACCTGGCCCTCCAAAATAGGGTGGAGGTCCTCTGGGAGGGCCTCTCATTCCAGGAGGTGGTGGACCTCGCATTCCAGGAGGAGGGGGGCCTCTCATACCTGGAGGTCCTGGGGGTCCTCTAAATCTAGGTGGACCATGTCCTGGTCCAGGGGGTCCTCTTCCAAAAGGTGGCCTATTGAATAGAAACAGGATCAATAAAAACGGTTCAGCTTGGAAAATGCTCAGCTAAGTTCCCAAACTTTGATGGTAGTATGGTCATGGTATAGTGCATAAATAAGCATGTGGCTCCTATATTTAGCATACTCTTTTTCATCAAGAAAGTGTCCATCATATTTTAATGTGGAAACTTGCCATTCTCAATGTAGAGCATGTAGGGGCTGCTAGATCACAACAGCATCTTGGCACTATACGATAATAGTCATTGTGTATATGCAGGAATACTCCAAAATTATTTTACACTTGCAAGACAACAGATGGAATCATGTCATCAAATTTGCTGTTATTGTCTAATTCTTTGAGTGCTTGTGTAGTTAGATGGGTTTTTATATGGGGATGACTAATGTAGCTGATCTTTATATCACAACTGTATTGTGGTTGTTGGACTGCTTTCATGATACAATGCAGAAATTGAACCCATTATCACAAACAACTACCCTTGTACATTGGTCGTTTTATCTCGCATTAGGGTAACAAATGTAACTGACAGACCATTTCTTATAATTGAGAATCCTTTTTTCTGGAAGCAACCACATGATTCGTAATTGTGTTGATTTTGACAAATCATCGTGCATTTGGGTTGCAAAAGACTTTTCGTGTAAATGCACCATGATTACTGGCTAACTAGTCAAGATCTGGCTTCGACTAAAACGGACAAGTCAGTGTTACCTGATGTGTTTCCGTCTGCAGGACCTACTGGTCCTCTATAAGCAGCTCGGAATTGTCAGTAAATGAAGGGTAGTGAATACTGGTGTTAGCCGACAACAATGAGTGAAAAGGTCACTTTGTACTTTGCTCAAAAGACATTGTTGTGCATTGTTAGTATTGTAAAGAATTGCATATGCATATTTCAAATATTCAAGTTTGTTTCACTTCGAAAGTATGAAATGTTCAATCAATCACGTCGGCACGAGGCCGTCACAATAAACAAGCGGTCGACAGAATGTGGGAAAAAAATATCATTATTTGCAACTACCTTGGACCCCTCATGAATCCTCTTCCTCGAGGAGGACCAGGAAAGGGAGGACCCCTATGCATTTTGTAATTGTCCTGAAAGTTTTCTTGATCACCCTTAAATCCATCCTGTTCTCTTGGTTCTGCATTCTCACTTTCGTCCGCCATTTTCCCACACGCTTCGTACAGCGTGCCTCGTTTTCAGAATGGGTTCCGACTAAGCAAATTAGTTTCGAATTTGGCGACACCAAATTATCTTTAAAAATAAAAATTACCTCTTATTGTTATCGAAGTATATCGAAACAATTCGAAGTTTTAAGAGTTTGATACGTTTACCGTCGTTGTAGAAAAAAATAATACTAAACTAATTTCCCAGCTTTAATGTACAAAACCTGAAATGACGTCATCAAGGAAATCACCTGTCATGTGAAAACAACACACCGGTGTAAAGTGTTTTACTGAGACTTTATTTAATCATTATCATTGTGGTATTCTGTGTGTGAATTTAGATCTCGGGCTGCTAACTGAATCAACGGGTACATGAGCGACCATACATGTACCGAGTCACACGACTTGATAGTGCTGGATAGTGATACTGAAAAGGAACTCGATGAAATGAGTCGATCGTTACCGCCTGATGTTACATTTGCCCCAAGTCGTTCTCCAACGAGAACTGGACGAGGAAACGAAGAGCATTCTCCGCTTTTAGCATCTAGGGTGGAACACGAGTATGGACTATTTGAGAACAATTTCCCAGATGATCCAGATTTTCAAGAGGTGATTCGAGTTGCGGAATCTGCCATTGAAGAAGGATTTCTGCCAGAAAGAATCTTCCAGGGATCAAGTGGAAGTTATTTTGTCAAAAATCAAGATGGGGTAAGAATAAGTTATTTGTAACAGTATAGATTAATGTAAAACGTTGCCTTTAAATGTTTGCGTGTTTGTTGACATTCCTTTTAAACTTGGCAGAAATCAGACGTTTTAAATGAACTAAAATAACAGGACTAATGTTTTAAAGCATTCCTCCTCATCCCTGTAGAGGTTGCTATCTGTGGTAACAATAACATATACATTTCATATTGAGCAAACTGTTGATACTGACACTGTCTTTTCAAACATTTATTATTAATGAGTGATAGTGGGGTAATAGTTAAACCATATATATGTGCATAAAAGGAATGAGTTAGTGTGGATTGTATATAGTGTGTTGAATACGTTTTTGCCACTCACCTCATGTAGCAAAGAGAGGTGGGCTTTCTCACCAGGGACCCAGGTTCAATTCCTATTGAGGGTCTTCGTAGAAATGTTTGTCACTGTTCTGTTATAATGGAACAAACAAAATCATGCATGTTGCGGTATTTAATCTCGGGTAGAGATTAAGGAAATCTCAAAAATAAAAAAAATACAAATTGTGTATAAGGAAAGAGTTGGTATGAATTGTACATACATGTATATGCTGATGGAGCATGGTTCTTTTGCTTTGGATTATTATACAAGAGAGTGGGTTTTTATTTATGATTATATGTCACCATTGTCCTCCAAGCAAGTTCTCTTCTGGAGCGGAGTATACTTGTCATCTTGATGACTCAAATTATCTGACTTGTATGCTGGCTTGTTTCACACGCACATACAGTGTTAATCATGATTACAAAGAGAACATATAATTACATTGATTGTGTAGCTTCTTCCCACAAGCTCCGTGTTACATCAACATGTGAAATATTTATGTGACAATCAACCTGATGATGTATAGACTTTTTATGAGTATTCAGGTTTTTCCCATATACGGCCATATGCAAGTATGATTGTCCATACTACCATAAGTTTGAGTGAGAATTAATTAATAGTGATTAGTTGTTGTGAAATTGATAAAATTCTGGTGTAATTGTATTTACGTTCATTATCATGTGCTAACGTTTTTATCAACACTTACAATCATAATCTAGGCATTTAGAGTTGTGATTTTTTTCCATACACAACACAATATTTAATGTACTTTATCTTAGATTTGAAATTTTGATTGTGCCAGGTTGTTTATTTAGACCCACTATAAGTAAGGTAAAGCAATACATTTAACTGGGTCATATCGAATATAAATCAATACATGTATAATATAACACTGACAGCTTTATTTTGTGTGGTGTAAGAAGTTGCTGTACATTATAAGGAGAATTCAGGAATGGATACTGCTGTTGTGATTTTCATGATTTTAAAGCATTGTAGGCTGATAATGTATTTATACTTTTACTTGTTATTTGGAATATATATAGCTGGTAACACATGTATGTTTTAATAATGATTTTGAAAGTTTGGAAAATGTAAGTTTATGACCAGATGTGTATACAATGCTTCATTTATTTTTTATGATTAAAAAAAGTTCTGAATAAGAAAGAAACGTCTTAGTTTGCTATAGTCTGATCTGATCGGGATACATCCTGATATGGTTACTTGATGTTAACCTATCTGATGTACAATTTGCTTGAGGCACGGTTTGACATATCGTGGTTCCTGTATGTCAGACTGCTATACACTGTGTGTACTATAAACCTGTATTATAAGGTATTACAAGCCGATTCCTACCTGCATACTCAATATCCATCAAAATACCAAGGGATATTATGAAAATTGAAGAAAATCTTGTTTCAAAATTTTTAAAGAATGTGGATTATAAAGTTTTCAGAAATCATGCTAATAACTTTAAAAAAAAATTAACAACTGGCTTTAAAAACAAAAGTGTTTTATATTAGTAACAAAAAAAAGTTAAAAAGTCACAAGAATTAACTGAATTTCAATGTTTGATATATGGCAGCATATATATATATATATGCATTTATCTGCCAAAATGTTAGTTGCCTTGCTACCTTTAGATCTGGTGTTTCAATTCATGAAGACTTAAGCATTGTTAGAGCCAAATGATATCCAAATGCAAGATGACTATATATCTGTGGGCCATTAGAAGCTGTTGTTGTAAGGAATACACTTATCCATCACACGGCTTCTGTAGAAGTCACCTAAGTAGGACATCCAGTCACACAGCACATGACTACACTGAATGGAGGGGGCATACCCGTCCATAGCAATATCCGTTAGTCCAACAGAAAAATATCTCAATGAAAAGTGACCATCATTCTTTTTATTGTACTTTTTAGAAAAAAACTGAACCATTGAAAAAAACTACTTTTACAACATAGTAAAATTTTCAAGGACTTTGTTCAAAATTTATAGTCTGGTTATTAAGATACAGTGGACCATTTTCCCCCTAACCTGTCATTGTAAACTGTTGTCATTTTCAATAGAGAAGAAATCATAGTAAACTGTTGTCATTTTCATATAGAGAAGGAATCATAGCAGAGAGTTGTCATGTTGTTTAGCTGTTATAAACAGCTGTGATCAAAATGAAAGATGATACATGTAAATCCATATATATTTCCAACTGTTGTTTAGCGATTTTCTCCTTAATGCTGAACAATCGTATTTTCCACAGCTGCCAGTAGAAATGTTAAGTCCAGTAAGTCTAATCAATCTGTATCTAATAAGCACTGAACCAGAAGTATATCTTACAAGTCGTATCATACTGCAAGTTCTGTGGACACGGTGTTGTCTGCCTGGTATATCAGTGTTCATTCTCTTACAGGGTAGGTAGTTATGACCAGATCATAAGTGGAAGCTTCAAGTGTGTTCTTTATGTTCATAAAAATAATTACAAGTGTATGCTGTGTAACCCTGGACTTAATTACCAAATTGTATACTAATAACAGGTGTAAAATGAGTAAAAGATAAAGATGTTTTATAACCAAGTCTCACCCACACCACACCCCTATAATCAATAATCATCAATTACAGGTGTATAACTTCTATCATCAATTACAGGTATATAACTTCTATCATCAATTACAGGTGTATAACCCCTATAATCAATACTATGTATAACTTTTATAATCAGTTACAGGTGTGTAACTTTTTTTAAAAATCAGTTACAGGCATTTAACCTCTATTATCAATTACAGGTGTTTGACCTCCATAATCAATTACAGATATATAACCCCTGAAATCAATTGCAGGTAACCCCTTTAAGCCAAATACAGAAGGGGGACAGTGGAGGTTGTCATAGACGGTATAAATAGTGGGTATAAGTACCCAGTATATAGATTCCTGTGTATGTCATACATTGTATTGAATGGTTTGTATAAAAAATACATAGAACAAACAAACATTCTCACATGTGTAAATTTTGAAATTCTATTTTTATGTTGGATATATGGATATTTCCTAAAAAAAAAACCAAAAAAACAAAAAAAAAAAACTATGCGTGGCCAAATTGAAAGTTTTTCTTTTTTTATGACATTAGTATTGCTTTTTCTAAACTACAGTAAATTGTATTTATATCATTTCAGGGGAGAAAATGCAGTTCTCTTCTTACTCATTCACACTTACCTTGTTTTAAACAGAATTTGGTTATTAACATTTTAGTTAAAACTTAAAAAGTTTATTTTTTCTCTAGTCTTTTCACATATAGTACACTTAAAAAGCAATTAATAAAGATTGATTAAATCATAAAAAAAACACCTTTTGATGTTTTTAGTTATTGAATATTTATTTATATATGTATTGAAGTATTTATATAATAATGATAATTCTTATGTTAATTACCATGGCTACTAAACAACAATTGATCCGAGTACATCTGACTAAAGGAGATTATCTGACCATACAGGGACATTGTACTTGCCATATTTGATGTCCAATTTATGTGTCAGTTGCTTTTTGTTCTATAGTTATATTGGTTGTTTGTGATGTATGTCAATAGTTTACTTCTTTTTTCTTGCTCCATCACTGAATTTGATTCATTAAAAAAACAAGCCAATTTTTTTTATCTTCAACGAAATTTCCTTAATACAAAAACACAATTATGGGGAAATAACTTTTTAGGTTTGAAATCACGTTAAAACATCATCTGCTTCCTGGCTTGTAGTTACAAAATGGCAGCGTTGTTGTAGAATAGGTAGTGAATCTGCAACAAGTGTCTGTTGATCACAGGTATTTTCGGTTCATAAAACTAAAAATTGTGTTGTATAACCTTACCAATGATTTCCATGGGGCCTGCATCAATGACAAGGTTTGTTATTCTCAAAATGAAGGCATAATTCAGATAGAAGATACAAACTGTGAAATAGCGTGGACAAGGTAACCGGTTTCCACTCAAGAGTTCAGAGTTCAGTGGGATATTTCCTAGCACACAGTTTTATGTACATATATTGTTTATTAAAAGTAAATTGTTTCCCTGTGATCACTGTATTGTATGTCACAGATTCACAGGACCCCAATTTTGTACAGTTATAAATAAATACTTAGCTTAGGTTAAATATGTGTTTATATGCCTATAATACTAATATTTATGTTACTGATTGTAGCCACTCTACAACTGATATGAGTACATCTTGACTAAATTTGATAATGTGACCACAGGGGACAATGCACAAGATTTATTTGCCAAAATATATGCTATTTAAATACCTATCCGTGCTGTCTGGAGTTATCTCTTAAAGTCTTGATGATGAGTTGATTATGATCAATATTACCAGAATATGCTATTAAACACTTTAAATGGATATTGTCATCAGTTCCGTATGTATATTAAAAGATGGTGGTTGATTAAATGGTGTAAGAAAGACAATATACTGGTAACCTCAGTTCTTAAAATGTGCATGGACCTTGAAGTTACTGGCATGGTAGGGGAGACATCAGGAGGGTTGTGAATACTTTTCCATTCTATTTAAAAAAAAAAGTATTGATATTTAGCCAATACAAACAATAAAGCAAACAGGTAATAAGTTTTGTTTTTTTCTGAATCTTGTAATGAACACCGGCGATAGGTA